GTCACTGGGCTTACATGGACTTTTCCTGATGGTCATGATTACACTTTCATAGATAAAAAACTTCCGTTTGGATCAAAATTAGCACCTGGTATTTTTCATAGATTATCTCAGGCAATTCGCAGAATGATGTCACGTAGAGGCTTCACCATTGTGGCATATTTAGATGATTTTTTTATTTGCGAGAAGACAAAGAAGCGCTGCGCTCAGGCGTTAGCAATTTTAATTGCGCTGCTCAGGAAGTTAGGTTTTTGTATCAGCTGGTCTAAAGTAACAGACCCCTGCCAACAGATTGTATTTTTAGGGGTTGAGATAGATTCTACTACTTTAGAAACTAGACTTCCTATTGCAAAATTGCATGATTTGAAATCAGAATTGGCTGAATTTTAATTGCGTAAGCGTGCTTCAAAAAAGCAATTGCAATCTTTAGCGGGAAAGCTTAATTGGGCGTCTGCTGTGGTTCGAGGCGGGAGAGTTTTTCTCCGTAGAATTATAAACGGCATCATGCGATTACAGCTAGATTGGCATAAATTGCGTCTGACAGGCGAAATATTGCAAGATATAAAGTGGTGGCATAACTTTATTTCAACTTTTAATGGGAAGTCAATTTTACTTGCAAAGGTTCCTATCACCTCTGTAGCTACTGATGCTTGTAAATCAGGTGGAGAGGGTGTCTATCAAAATGATTGGTTTTATGTAAATTGGGCAGAAGATCACCCCTTTGCTTTGAAACTTCACATAAATGAATTAGAGGCTTTCTCAGTGGCGTTAGCAGTAAAGCGATGGGCCCCATATTGGCGTGGTCAGCGTATTATAGTTCATTGCGATGATGCGGTAACTGTAAGTTGCATTAATAAAGGTACATCAAAAAATGCTATTTTGATGTCCTTTTTGCGTGAGCTCTTTTGGTTATCAGCAACGTATAATTTTCACTTGATAGCTAAGCATGTTCCAGGCAAAACGAATATACTAGCAGACTGTATTTCACGGATGCATGATCTACCTTTCTGTGAACAATTTTTGCGTGAATATGTTCGACTGCCACTGTATTTACAGGATCTTGTTAGGCACATGTTGGGTTATGACAGCAGCAAATATTCGGGACATAGTTTTCGCAGAGGAGGGGCCTCCTTTGCCTTAGAATGTGGGGTTCCAGCTGATCTCATACAATCACAGGGTGATTGGAAATCTAATGCATACAAATCATACTTGGATCCTTCTTTTGCACACAGACAGGAAGTCATGAACAAATTTGCAGTTGCCCTGGGGAAATAATAAACCATTTAACCTACCTTCTACTGGTTACACCACACATGTTTGGGAAGTTTGGAATACCACAGATTATTAATTAATTAATTTGTGTATTGTTTTCAAACTGTACTGTTGTTTGTGTTTTATTAATATGAAATTTAAGCATTAAGGTGGTACCCAACACCTCGACTAATATTAATTTGGCTCGTTTAATTTTCCTAAAATTTTGACAAAATGTTTACTTTGACCCTTTGACAAAAATATAAAAATTTCAAATAATTTGAACCAACCACTTTATCAGAAATATTTTACTGGTTATATAGCAGTTTGACAAACACTAATTTTGATCATAGAGAAGCTTAATATTTCCTTACCAATATAACGTGATTAAAACGTTTAGTTGATTTTTACAGAGTTATCTCCCTGTAGTGTTAGGTACCACCTTAAACTGTGGTTCTTTTCCCAAACATGTCTTTGTTTTACACTAGTAACCATCTGGATTCACAGGTTTCCTGACTGGATTCCGATCAGAGTTAGACATTAACATGCATCTGATCTGAGACTGGTCTAGATTCCAACAGCATATATACACATACACACTATACACATACACAAGGGGGAGGGAAATGGGTGGGGCCGTTTCAAAGTGATGTGGATTAATCGCTTGCATATCATATAAAGTTATAAAGGGGATAACTGAAGAACAGTAAAAGTGAAGCTACCGAAATTTGTACTTGATTCCAGTTTAGTGGTAATAAGTACTGTGTATAAGTTTCATTACATTGGTTGAGGCAAACTAAAGTTAGAGAACGGAAACCAACTTTGGGACATACGTAAAGATGGACAAGGGTAAAACTTAATGCCCCCTACGCTACGGCGGGGGCATAAAAACGTCAATATCATAATTCAAACATATCTACGCTATTATAATAAAAGAGTGTTAGGTGTAGCAGATGGATTCCCACTTTTTCCTTGTTTCTGAAAAAAAAAACACAGATAAATTGATTTTTCTGTTTTACTAAAAAAAAATGTAACAGCACGGCAAGTTGATATGTGCTTTCAATGCAGTTATGTAACTATCTAATAAAACCATAAATTTGATCGCATATTTGGTCTCATCAGTCAGGGAATGCATCAAATTTACAATTTGTGGAGAACATAAAATACACCAATCTGACTTTTCCCTGAGACCTTCCTGGTTACATATGCTTGTAAATGTATAATATATACAGCATTTCTAAATATTCATCATTCATTTTTTTTTTTAAAGATTATAACAAGCCAAAAATTGTGTTTTAGTCAATACAGCATATTCAAAATTTAAATTGATGTTCCATTGTTGAAAATAACACTTCAATTCCATCAACAACATTATTACATTTTTTATCTATCTTAATCAGGGTCTAACAAAACGTAATTTTGAACTGAACCAGGAAAGTTTCGACCTGCCAGATAGTTAAAATTGCATGCCATGCAAAATACCAAGCAAACTGACATACTGTATCAGTCAATCAGTACTAGAACTAGATTGTACAAACAATAATTACATTAAAAATGTTTTGATTTTAAGCACTAATAAAATATATTATGATAGCATTTGTTAAAATGCTTTAAATTCAGTGTTACTGATCGATACAATTTAACACACCCATCTGGCATACAAATTTATAAGCCTAATAAGTTTGATGAATTATGTTGTACTCCATTATCTTTTGCCATCTTGATTGTAAAATAGCAGAACACAATATGTCTAAATCTTTAATTGAATAATTATGCAAACGCTGAGACTGGAATGCAATTAAAATATAATCTTTAATTTATCATTTATCAGATTCCTATGACTGTTTCTATTAATAGTAAATACTAAATTTTGATGATTTGTTTTGTTTGATTGAATTTATTAACTCTAGGTATCAAAAGTGATGTTAAAAAGAATACAAATGTCACTGTACATCGTAACAAACATGTCGATTTCAGATAAAATGCAAATCAGAGACAGACATTTGCCTCCAAGGCAAGCATTCTGTGATCAATATAAGATATGGGACAACTATTGAAAAAGAGAGAAAGAGACTCTTAAATCATGCTAAAGAAAGGACAGTTACTCATGACTGGGCAAAAGAAAAATGAATTTTACAAAATAATTTGAAATCCAATCATCAATGCAACAGAGGAAAAGAAACATGTAGAGTATAATTAACTTTTTTTTTGTTTGCTGGTGGTTTGTACCACAGGATTGTGTAAGCGTCTAGTGTGGTAATAGCCATAGGTTCCTTATTACCGCTAGCTAGCCTGCTTTGTAGGTGAAAAGAAAGCCGATGTGTAAGTCTTTCTGCCAGTACATAGCCTCTACACTATTCAAGACTTCTACAATGCTTCCCCGCGACAGCACATGGTAACTAGGATCTAGCATCCTAGGCATTATTGTAGAGGATCTCAGAGCAACAAGGACCCTAGAGATGCAGTGTGTAGGCCCATCGTTGCGTGGACACGCCCTTGCACTCATCAACCTTGTCCCAACTATGGTAAATAGTACCACTACCTTGAAGTTAGATCTGGGAAGATCAAAGGCTATGGGAGCAGCCTCAGAAAGAAAAGATGGGAAGATGGAGCTCGTCAGCCATGGTAGGCAATCGTCTATGGGAAGCAAAATCCAGACAGCAAAATTTCATCCTGCAGATAGTAGGTTTCACGCATGGCTTATCACCAGGCAGAGTTAACAGAAGATGATTACGGAAACTACACAAAAAGAAACACCGAATTTCGTGAACGAGGACATACCTCATACAGATGCATGACCAATTTTTTTTTTTTTTTTTTATTCACGCTGCTTGAAAAGGTACTGAATTTGAAAGAGCACATACGTTTTATTGCTTTTCAAGGTAAAACCCAGAGTTCAATGGAAGGATCAGCATTGCAAATGTTTATAACATATCCAAATCATGGTAATGATTTGTGCCTAATTTGTAAGCAGCTTTTCTTTGCCAAAAGTGTAGAAAAGATATGCATAAACTGCAAATTGAAAAGCTTAACATCTATTGTACAACATAGGCATATGCAAACGGATGAATACCAGAATGAAGAAGAAAGCTTAAATTGTAAGATGAAGAAACATAATAGATACGCATGTGTTTTGTGTAAAGATGTTTCAAAATACATCATTCCTGAAAATCCACCAGAGGAAAAACCCTATAATTGTGATATTTGTAACACAGCTTTCACACAGTCATCATCTCTGAACACCCACAAGCAAATAAAACATTCCAACCAAAAGCCATATAATTGTAATGTGGGAAAACATTTGCAATAAAAAATTATCTAACTGTGCATTCACGCACTCATAGCAGAGAAAATATATCTTATTTTTATATGGTATCAGGGTATTGAACTTAGAATATTTTGTACCTACATTTTGATATACATTATTTACTAGTGAAGAACATTCTAAGTTTCCATAATGCATTTCATACATATACATGCGCATAGCATCTGGTAGGTTGATATTACTAATATTTTGGTCTAAAGAAATTTCAAAACCATTATTAAGAACTAAAAAAATGATTAGTCATGCATGACCTTCAGTAATATATTGTTATCATAAGCATTGTATCTTTGCTGAGTTTTTTTTATCATGCAGCAATATAAAATTTGTCAAGATTTTTCGTAAATCAAGACAAATCCAAATAATTGAGAGGCAGAAGAAACCAAACGAAAATTCAATCTAAACTAACAAAGCAATGGCAACAAAAAAAAAAAAACAACAACATAAAAAACATGACAAGCAGCAGTCTACAAAACACAACATTGAAAACTAAAGACTGAGAATCGAATAGGTGCTCCGATAGGGTAAATAGGTCCTGCTGCACCTATCGTGCTATATGGTTACAGATGACAGCAAGAATTATACACTATGGTACAGTTGAACAAGGATGTTACAGGTAGCAGTAGACGGCACAGTTGACAAACAATGTTACAGGTAGCAGTAGATGGTACAGATGACAAATGATGTTACAGGTGGAGGTAGATGGTACAGTTGACAAACAATGTTACAGGTGGCAGTAGATGGTACAGTTGACAAATTATGTTACAGGTGGCAGTAGATGGTACAGTTGACAAATGATGTTACAGGTGGCATAAGATGGTACAGTTGACAAACAATGTTACAGGTGGCAGTAGATGGTATAGTTAACAAGTGATGTTACAGATGCCAGTAGAATGTACAGTTGACAAATGATGTTGCAGATGGCAGTAGATGGTATAGTTGACAAATTATGTTACCAGTGGGCAGTGGCAGTAGATGTTCAAGTTTATAAACAATGTCACAGGTGGCAGTAGATGGTACAGTTGACAAATGATGTTACAGATGACAGTGGATGGTACAGTTGACAAATGATGTTACAGGTGGCAGTAGATGGTACAGATGACGAATGATGTTACAGTTGACAGTAGATGGTACAGATGACTAATGATGTTACAGGTAGCAGTAGATGGTACAGTCGTCAAATGATGTTATAGATGGCAGTAGATGGTACAGTTTATAAACTATGTTACAGGTGGCAGTAGATGGTACAGTCGTCAAATGATGTTATAGATGGCAGTAGATGGTACAGTTTATAAACTATGTTACAGGTGGCAGTAGATGGTACAGTTTATAAATATGGTTACAGGTGGCAGTAGATGGTACAGATGACCAATGATGTTACAGGTGGCAGTAGATGGTAGAGTTGACAAATGACGTTACAGATGGCAGTAGATGGTAGAGTTGACAAATGTTGTTACTGGTGGCAGTAGATGGTACAGTTGACTAATGATATTACAGTTGGCAGTAGATGGTACAGATGACTAATAATGTTACAGGTGGCAGCAGATGGTACAGATGACCAATGATGTTACAGATGGCAGTAGATGGTACAGTTGACAAATGATGTTACAGATGGCAGTAGATGGTACAGATGACTAATAATGTTACAGGTGGCAGCAGATGGTACAGTTGACAAATGATGTTACAGATGGCAGTAGATGGTACAGTTGACAAAATGATGTTACAGGTGGCAGGAGATGGTACAGTTGACAAATGTTGTTACAGATGGCAGTCGATGGTACAGTTGACAAACAATTTTACAGGTTGCAGTAGATGGGACAGTTGACAAATGATGTTAAAGGTGGCAGGAGATGGTACAGTTGATAAATGATGTTACAAATGGCAGTAGATGGTACAGTTGACAAACATTGTTACAGGTGGCAATAGATAGTACAGTTGACAAATGATGTTACAGGTGGCAGGAGATGGTACAGTTGACAAATGATGATACAGGTGGCAGTAGTTGGTACAGTTGACAAATGATTTTCCAGATGACAGTAGATGGTACAGTTGACAAATGATGTTACAGATGACAGTAGATGGTAAAGTTGACATATGATGTTACAGGTGGCAATAGATGGTACAGTTGACAAATGATGTTATAGATGGCAGTAGATGGTACAGTTGACTAATGATGTTGCAGGTGGCAGTAGATGGTACAGTTGACAAATGATGTTATAGATGGCAGTAGATGGTACAGTTTATAAACTATGGTACAGGTGGCAGTAGATGTTACAGTTTATAAACTATGTTACAAGTGGCAGTAGATGGTACAGTTGACAAATGATGTTATAGAATGCAGTAGATGGTACAGATGACGAATGATGTTACAGGTGGCAGTAGATGGTACAGTTGACAAATAATGTTACAGGTGGCAGGAGATGGTACAGTTGACTAATGATGGTACAGGTGGCGGTAGATGGTACAGATGACTAATGATGTTACAGGTGGCAGTAGATGGTACAGTTGACAAATTATGTTACAGGTGGCAGTAGATGGTACAGTTAACACATGATGTTCCAGATGACAGTAGATGGTACAGTTGACAAATGATGTTACAGGTGGCAGTAGATGGTACAGTTGACAAATGATGTTACAAGATGCAAGAGATGGTACAGTTGACAAATGATGTTACAGGTGGCAGTAGATGGTACAGTTGACAAATGATGTTACAGGTGGCAGTAGATGGTACAGTTGACAAATTATGTTACAGGTGGCAGTAGATGGTACAGATGACAAACAATATTACAGATGGCAGTAGATGGTACAGATGACAAACAATGTTACAGGTGGCAGTAGATGGTATAGTTAACAAGTGATGTTACAGATGCCAGTAGATGGTACAGTTGACTAATGATGGTACAGGTGGCAGTAGGTGGTACAGATGACTAATGATGTTACAGGTGGCAGTAGATGGTACAGTTGACAAACAATGTTACAGGTGGCAGTAGATGGTACAGTTGACAAATGATGTTACAGGTGGCAGTAGATGGTACAGTTGACAAATTATGTTACAGGTGGCAGTAGATGGTACAGATGACAAACAATATTACAGATGGCAGTAGATGGTACAGATGACAAATGACATTACGGATGACAGTAGATGGTACAGATGATGAATGATGTTACAGGTGGCATAATATGGTACAGATGACAAACAATGTTACAGGTATCAGTAGATGGTACAGATGACAAATGATGTTACAGGTGGCAGTAGATGGTATAGATGACAAATGATGTTTGAGATGGCAGTAGATGGTACAGTTGACAAATGATGTTACAGATGACAGTAGATGGTAGAGATGACGAATGATGTTACAGGTGGCATAAGATGGAACAGATGACAAATGATGTTACAGATGGCAGCAGGTTGTACAGATGACAAATGATGTTACAGGTGGCAGTAGATGGTACAGATGACAAATGATGTTACAGGTGGCAGTAGATGGTACAGATGACAAATGATGTTACAGATGGCAGTAGATGGTACAGATGAGGAATGATGTTACAGGTGGCATAAGATGGTACAGATGACAAATGATGTTACAGGTAGCAGTAGATGGTACAGATGACAAATGATGTTACAAGTGGCAGGAGATGGTACAGTTGACGAATGATGTTACAGGTGGCAGTAGATGGTACAGATGAGGAATGATGTTACAGGTGGCAGGAGATGGTACAGATGAGGAATGATGTAACAGGTGGCAGTAGATGGTACAGATGACAAAAGATATTACAGATGGTAGTAGATGGTACAGATGACGAATGATGTTACAGGTGGCATAAGATGGAACCGATGACAAACAATGTTACAGGTATCAGTAGATGGTACAGATGACAAATGATGTTACAGATGGCAGTAGATGGTACAGTTGACAAATGAGGTTACAGGTGGCAGTAGATGGTACAGATGACAAATGATGTTACAGATGGCAGCAGGTGGTACAGATGACAAATGATGTTACAGGTGGCAGTAGATGGTACAGATGACAAATGATTTTACAGGTGGCAGTAGATGGTACAGATGACAAATGATGTTACAGATGGCAGTAGATGGTACAAATTACAAATGATATTACAGATGACAGTAGATGGTACAGATGACGAATGATGTCACAGGTGGCATAAGATGGTACAGTTGACAAATGATGTTACAGGTGGTATTAGATGGTACAGATGACAAATGATGTTACAGATGGCAGCAGGTGGTACAGATGACAAACAATGTTACAGGTGGTAGTAGATGGTACAGTTGACAAATGATGTTACAGATGGCAGTAGATAGTACAGTTGACAAATGATGTTACAGGTGGCAGTAGATGTTACAGTTAACAAATGATGTTTTACAAATGACCTTAGAGATGGCAGTAGATGGTACAGTTGACAAATGCTGTTACAGATGACAGTAGATGGTAGTTGAAAAATGATGTTACAGGTGGCAGTAGTTGGTACAGTTGACAAACAATGTTACTGATGGAAGTAGATGGTACAGATGACAAATGATGTTACAGGTGGCAATAGATGGTACAGTTGACAAATGATGTTACAGGTGGCAGGAGATGGTACAGTTGACTTATGATGTTACAGGTGGCAGTAGATGGTACAGTTGACAAATGATGTTACAGGTGGCAGGAGATGGTACAGTTGACTTATGATGTTACAGATGGCAGTAGATGGTACAGATGACAAATAATATTACAGATGACAGTAGATGGTACAGTTGACAAATGATGTTACAGGTGGCAGTAGATGGTACAGATGACAAATTATGTTACAGGTGGCAGTAGATGCTACAGATGACGAATGATGTTACAGGTGGCAGTAGATGGTACAGATGACAAATGATATTACAGATGACAGTAGATGGTACAGATGACGAATGATGTTACAGAGGCATAAGAAGGTACAGATGACAAATGATGTTACAGGTGGCAGTAGATGGTACAGATGACAAATGATGTTACAGGTGGCAGTAGATGGTAAAGTTGACAAATGATGTTACAGGTGGCAGTAGATGGTAAAGTTGACAAATGATGTTACAGGTGGCAATAGATGGTACAGTTGACAAATGATGTTACAGGTGGCAGTAGATTGTAAAGTTGACAAATGATGTTACATGTGGCAGTAGATGGTACAGATGACAAATTATGTTACAGGTGGCAGTAGATGGTACAGATGACGAATGATGTTACAGGTGGCAGTAGATGGTACAGATGACAAACAATGTTACAGAGCGCAGTAGATGGTACAGATGACAAATGATATTACAGATGACAATAGATGGTACAGATGACGAATGATGTTACAGAGGCATAAGAAGGTACAGATGACAAATGATGTTACAGGTGGCAGTAGATGGTACAGATGACAAATGATGTTACAGGTGGCAGTAGATGGTACAGATGACAAATGATGTCACAGATGGCAGTAGATGGTACAGTTGACAAATGATGTTACAGATGACAGTAGATGGTAGAGTTGACAAATGATGTAACAGGTGGCAGTAGATGGTACAGATGACAAATGATGTTACAGGTAGCAGGAGATTGTACAGTTGACTTATGATGTTACAGGTGGCAGATGGTACAGTTGACTAATGATGATACAGGTGGCAGTAGATTGTAAACCGGACAAATGATGTTACAGATAGCAGTAGATGGTACAGTTGACACATGATGTTACAGTTGGCAGTATATTGTACAGTTGACAAATGATGTTATAGGTGGCAGTAGATGGTAAATTTGACAAATGATGTTACAGGTGGCAGTAGATGGTAAAGTTGACTAATAATGTTACAGGTGGCAGTATATGGTACAGTTGAAAAACAATGTTACAGATGGCAGTAGATGGTACAGAGGACAAATGATGTTACAGGTGGCAGTAGATGGTACAGTTGACAAATGTTGTTACAGGTGGCAGTAGATAATACAGTTGACAAACAATGTTACAGGTGGCAGTAGTTGGCAGTAGTTGGTACAGATGACGAATGATGTTACAGGTGGCAGTAGATGGTAAAGTTGACAAATGATGTTATAGATGGCAGTGCATGGTACAATTGATAAATGAGTATACAATATCTCTGTATCAGGTGTGGAAACAGTCTTGTAGTATACAATATCTCAGTAGCAGGCATGAAAACAGTTTTGTAGTATACAATACTTCTGTACTCTTGGAGAGGAACATCATGTTAGTTTAAGTAGTAAACAAAAAATTTATAAGCTTACCATAAACTGCATCATGTTTTGCACCAGTCATGTAATGAAGACCTGCTGCACTACCTACAATAAAATAAAAATTGAATATTTATTATAATTGCCACTTACAGCTTGTTTACAAATTAATTATACATGAAGATACCTATTTTCTACAAAAATAAATGAATCTACAGTATTGTACAATTGTCAAACAATGAAGTTTGGTTTTATAAATCCAACATATGCCCAAAACAAGAAACATAGAAAGCATGCAAGAGAATTGGCATATTGTCATGATATCTTCAACTGAACCAAATTTTAAATCAATACTATGATTTGTTGTTCTGGCTGTGAGCTATTAGAGTATAAACTACAGGTAGTGATGTCAAATCAAACAGTTTTGCCTGAACAGTAGGATAAAATTTGATTTAACAGGTTAACTGGTATCTATATATATATATATATACATAGATACCAGTTAACCTGTTAATCTGTCAAATTTAAATTAAAAAATGGACAATTGTACATTATTGTGATATGATAAGTTTATCCTTTGGCATTATAAGGCTCTTTGAGCGTTCCCAGTGAAGTTTTTAATTTTTACTTTAGGTAATCGATTTTTTTGTAAAAGTTAACAGACAACTGAGTCAGATGAGGCCAAGTTATGATAAATGAAATAATGTAGTAAATGGTAAAATTTAATCTGCTTAAAACTGTTAAAAATACATATATATATTTAGGTTTACAAGGTTAACAATAGCAATCAATATATTGGACAATAGATCTGTCAAATCAATTACCCCAGACAATATTAATACTTTTAATTCACATTTATATAAAATCTATTAAAATTGCCAAAACATCTGCTAATCAGTTAGTATTTTTTGTATTTCATATTGGGTCCTTCTGACAGTTAACCAGTTAAAAGTTGACAACATTAGTATAAACAAAGTAGTTCTAAATAGTTTGGAAAGTAATACAAATTGTTTATTTCTGGATCTTTATTCTGTCTTAATTTAACACAAAATGATACATTTTTTACAGAAAATATATTTATTGAAATATCAACCTTTATAGAAAAAAATTATTAATGTCATTTCCAGGACATGAAAGGTGCAGAAGTTTGATACATGACTAATAGCAGTTTCACTTGTTTAATTTTACATGAAATACGTAGTAAATAAAGTGCCAATGAGACAACTCTCCATCCAGGTCACAATTCATAAAAGTAAACCACTATAGGTCAAAGTACAGTCTTCAACACGGAGCCTTAGCTCACACCGAACAGCAAGCTATAAAGGGCCACAAAAATGACTAGTGTAAAACAATTCAAACCAGAAAACCAACGTTCTAATCTATATAAACTAGCATCTTCGCTAGCCAAGGGTTACGATCCACTTCCCTCCTCTCCACCCTTGGCAGATTAAGCCAACATTTGTGATAACAATATGGTGCCATCTATCGGTAGATTAAAGTCACGTCCATTCTGAACACATTATTCTTGACCAATGGTAGCACTCGAACTCTTCAATTTGGAGGAAAAACACGGTAGCGTCTAGATTCTACACACTTGGTAAAGCAGGAAACGAAAATATACGTTGACATTCATACACAGGAACTTCTATTAGTTGATTAAAAACATTCAAATTGTCACTAAATATAGTCGTATGTTTAGGGATGTAAAGACTTGTTGCACAATAAGCATGTGGCAATTGTTTACATACACTTTCTACATTTACACATGATCATGTTATAGGCGCTTTTTGATTGGATGCAGGGAGTTTCGACTGCAACCAATGAAAATCATGACCTTGTGTCTCCGAAATTCTATCTCAATCCGCCAAGGGTGGAGAGGAGGGAAGTGGATCGTAACCCTTGGCTAGCGAAGATGATAAACTAGAGGCTCTAAAGAGTCTGTGTCGCTCACCTTGGTCTATGTGCATATTAAGCAAAGGACACAGATGGATTCATGACAAAATTGAGTTTTGGTGATGGTGATGTGTTTGTAGATCTTACTCAACTGAACATTCTTGCTGCTTACAATTATCTCTATCTATAATGAACTTGGCCCAGAAGTTACAGTGGAAAATATTTTGTAAAAATTTATAAAAATTGACTATAAAGGGCAATAACTCCTTAAGGGGTCAATTGACCATTTTGGTCATGTTGTCTTATTTGTAGGTCAACTTTGCTGTACATTATTGCTGTTTACAGTTTATCTCTATCTATAATAATACTGAAGATAACCAAAAGCTGCAAAATTTTCTTAAAATTACCAATTCAGGGGCAGCAACCCAACAACGGGTTGCCAGATTGGGCTGAAAATTTCAGAGCAGATAGATTTTGACCTAATGAACAATTTTACCCCTTTGTCAGATTTGCTCTAAATGCTTTGGTTTCAGAGATACGAGCCAAAAACTGCATGTTACCTTATGTACTATTTTTCGCCATGTCAGACCATCTTGGTTCACGGGTGGGGTCATCGGACACATTTCTAAAACCATATACCCTAATGATGATTGTGGACAAGTTTGGTTAAATTTGTCTAAGTAGTTTCAGAGGAGAAGATTTTTGTAAAAGATTACAAAAATTTACGAAAAAATGTTAAAAATTGACTATAAAGGTCAAAAACTCCTTAAGGGGTCAACAGACCATTTTGGTCACGTTGACTTATTTGTAGATCTTATTTTGATGAACATTATTGCTGTCTACAGTTCATCTCTATCTATAATAAAATTCAAGATAATAACCAAAAACGGCAAAATTTCCTTAAAATTACCAATTCAGGGGCAGCAACCCCACTGGGGTAAATGTGATCTCCGTAACTGCAGTTACGTATATCCAAAGATGGTGGACGACTTTCTAGTCAATATTTCTTTTATAGATTGTGAAATAACTATGTTCTATTCTTCGGTATTTTGTGTCTTATAAGACTAATTTCCTAAATTTGAAACTGAAATACTATGGGATTTTTCATAGTTTAACCGCTAAAAGGAGAAATCGGTCGTCCAAAAAACGTGATATGGGTAACTGAAAAAAATAAATTGCCGTTGATATAGGTAACTGGAAATATAGATATCTGTAACTGATTTCATTTCTATACATTTGTCCTTCTCGTTTGAGATGAAATTAGTGTCTCAGATTATTGAAATCATTATAAATCAGTATCGGAATTGTTCTTGAAAGTCTGGAGTCGATTCACAAAAAAACTTACGACTAAAATTACCCAAGTGAACCCAACAACAGGTTGTCCGATTCATCTGAAAAATTCAGGGCAGATAGATCTTGACCTGATAAACAATTTAACCTATGTCAGATTTGCTCTAAATGCTCTGGTTTTAGAGATATAAAAGCCAAAATCTACATTTTACCCCTATGTTCTATTTTTAGCCATGGCAGCCATCTTGGTTGGTTGGCCGGGTCACCGGACATATTTTCAAAACTAGATACCCCATTGATGATTGTGGCCATGTTTAGTTAAATTTGGCCCAGTAGTTTCAGAGAAGAAGATTTTTGTAAAAGTTAACGTCGACAGATGATGAACGCCAAGTGATGAGAAAAGCTCACATGGCTCTTTGGGCCAGGTGAGCTAAAAACGAGAAACACTTATGAACCATATGAACAAATGACAACTACTGAACATCAGATTCCTCACTTAGGACAGGTGCAAACAATTGCAGTCGGTTTAAACGTTTTAATAGGTACCAACCTTCACCCTTATCTGAAACAATAGTGTACCATCACAACATAGAAAGACACACTATAAAATATCAATTGAAATGGCTTAACTCAATCAAAAGACATATTAACACAAGTGAACATACACTGAACGAATTTATTTAATCCATGATATAATGTAAATACAAAATCAATAAAATAAGGGGTGAATAATTAAAGTAACAGTATTATACCGCTGTTTATTTTGTTTTATCATGTGTATTTTCATATCATTTTATGCAGTTGTATTGAAAATTTTCATTTTACTTGACTTTCATACTAATATATGCCCTTTATGTTGCATATTTGTTAATGCTTTTCCTATGACGAGGGCCTCAGGGAAGATCAGTTAAATAGAACTGTGTTACCCTCTAAAAATAAAGTTGTTGTTGTTAGTTCTGAGCCTGATTATGAAAGGTTTTGCCACCTACAGCAGTGGTAATTAATCTATTCCAGGGGTAGATAAAGTATTTGAACAATTCAAAGATTATAAACAGTTAATTTATTAAAATAAACACATACCTTACATAGAATATTTATTCTTCCTCTGCTGATAATTTTTCCTGGTCTTATTTCTTTCATTGAAGACTTTGTATTTTATAAGATCTCTTCTAATAACAGGGTCTGTTTCATTGGCCATTACTTTTGGATATTTTTTCATAAATACTTCAATGGCCTTAAAACCTGAAATACAATATTATTTTAATGAATTTTTTAAAAGTTTTTAATGTTCAACACAATAAACTGTTAACACAGAGATATGTCACACTTTTTTGTAATTTTGATAATGCAAATGTTGAAATTAAAAAAGCAATAGTTATGCAAATATTCAAAGTGAATGAACCATGACTGATGGTACATGGCTAAACAATCTCCATGGAAATGAGATGTGCCAATGCTAATATATATAATACAACTGCATACCAAATATCATTGACTTATCATAAGTCATAAGTCGTTTCCTTTAAACAAACCTACACACAAACATAATTTATTTAACTTGTAAACTATGTAAAAGTTTCAAAGTCAATGATCCATGATGAGGGGGTTGCGACTATATAATCTCCATGGAAACAAGACTGGGAAATGTGATGTGCTAATCCTTATACAACTGCAAACCAATTAACATGGGCCTACCACTAATCATTCAGGTTCCCCTAGCCTTGAACTGACCTGATCACAAACTATAATACATGTAAACTAAGCAAAAGTTTCAAAGTAAATAGACCATGACTGAGGGGGCGGTACCAAATAATATCCATGGAAACGAGATATTCCAATGCTTATACAACTGCATACCAAATATCATTGACCTACCACTTATGTATAGTGATTCTCCATAAACTTTTGTAAGGTTGACAAAAATAACTATCCATAAACACTGATCCAGCTAGGTGGTTTTCAGAGGGGTGGTGCCCTGTGCCCTTTTTAAAGTTTCCAGGGTGCCTTTTGCCTTTTTCATAGTGCCCTGACTTTTTGAAATCAATTGTATTTTATTTTGTTCATTTTGTTACATCGAGATGACTGTGAGGGCATTCCGATGTATTGCTATCGCCTAGATTTGCACACGTAACTTTCGTTTTGGGTTTGTAACCAATCTATAAACATGATAAATATGTGGATATTAACTAGTGCAAACTAACATTTCTTATCGTTAGTTATAAATACATCTCTTCAATGAATACTGATAAAAATATGTTTGTTTAGAACATAAATTAATAATATGAAAATGTTTTGTCGTTAGATATATATATATAAAAAATAAGTAAAAAATCATTGATAATATCTACGCAAACGTACCAAAAAATTGTGTTAAAGCATGCGGAAGAATATCTCAAAAACGTTATGCGACAATCCTGGCAAGGACCGGTAACTCTGTAATTGTTTTTGCGGGAAAATATGAATGCCTGCTCAGATCAAATCTTTTAGAAAAATCGAATTTTTACAGACGAGTGTCCACCATGCACTTGCACTGCACTATTATTAGAATAGTAGAATAGAATGATATACAAATGGATGAAAATTATATATACATGTAACTGTTATATTAATATAATATATAACAACAAACCAGTGTATACTGATTTGTATCACTACAATATAATAGTTATTACGGTGAGGTTGAATTTCCTGTCATTTATTTATCATCCACGAACGAAATTGTCTCAAAAAAATATATATTTCTGTACATTAACCTCAGTTTCAGGTATAGAGATGTGATTTTTTTCTGTGATAAGTGCTTTTGACCATCCACAAGAACTTGCGGTCATTTGATGTTCAGTACTTCAGTACTTTGATTATGATCTGCTATTTCGAAATTAAACTGCCTTGTCAACACTGCATGCTCATTGTAATATAAATAGGTAAAAATATGTTTAACTGTTGTTAACAGCTGATCAGTACACAAGTTAATTAATGATGATTTGAACTCATTAAATAAGTATCTATATAACATTATGAGTTTGTGTTTCTTGTCTTATTCCAATCACAATGCCCAAGTGTGAAAGACGTTTACAAGAGGAAATTAAAAAATCTAAAGAGACGAAGTCAGAAGTTTGGTCGACATTTTTAGTACTATGTGGGTCTTCTGTGTCAATTTTGACAGTTCCAATTTTAAATTGAGTATTTGATATTTGTAGAAAAACTTTGAGATTTTTTAACCTTTTAGATTTTACAAATGAAACTTTCTAACAATAGTCCTGGGCTATGATGATAATTGAAAAAAAACATCTTAAATTTTTAAAAACCTTTTTGATGTTTCAAATCATTCTTTCTAAATTCTAAAAACAAGAAAAAAATATTTTTTCAGAATTTGGAATGGAAGTAGTAACTAGACTCTCAAGAGCCTGTGTCGCTCACCTGTATTTACTGATGCTTTGGAAATCATGTAAAATAAGGTTAAACTCATAATTAATAGTATTAGATATTAGATATTATAATGATATCTAAAGCATTTTTTTTACCGAAATGACCTCTTATTTATTGATTAGTTTCTGATACAGTTAATCATAAGAATACCGCTAACTTAGATAATTATTTGTTACAAGTATTCAAACGATTTGTAAATTTTACGATTGATTAGATTTGATCGGACCTTTGATGTACTCACTAATAAGGTTACAAAATTATCATGAGTGTTTACAACTCTTATATAGTTTGACACTTATTAATATGGGGTAATTACCTGATAAGAGTACCTTACACTCTTATCCTAATTGACACTTATTAATAAGGGTATACACACCTGACAGTCATTTTATAAAATACATTTATGCACAATGCCCTTTGGCATTTATCTTGTTAAAACTAACATATACCGTTATTGACCTGTCAACAGGGAAAAACAGATTGTTTACAAAATCCTTTAACCATGTTAACTTCGAAACTACCAAATGTATGCATAAATTTTCGCAGAATTTATTTTCACGATTTTCGTTTATCCGCGAAAATAAACACCCCACGAAAATAACCCGCTATACGGTATCAGACAAATTATGGCATCGTCAATATTTTGTAGCCATGGTCTACCGAACTGCCATATGGAATCAAAACATACTGCATAAAAGCTAAACTGTGACAAGCAATACTTTGAAAACTTGTGTAACAAGGTGCTTGACAAGTTTTACAGCTTAATCAGACACATTTTGTTTAACTAGATACTCTTAGAATGATGATTGTGGTCAAGCTTGGCATAATTTGTCTCAGAGGAGAAGATTTTTGAAAAAGATTTAAAAAATTTACAAAAAAATTGTTAAAATCTCACTATAAAAGGCAAAAACTCCTTAAGGAGTCAATTGACCATTTTGGTAATGTTAAATTATTTGTAGATCTTACTTTGCTGTACATTATTGCTGTTAACAGTTTATCTCTATCTATAATAATATTGAAGATAATAACCAAAAACTGCAAAAATTTTTAAATTACAAATTCAGGGGCACAACACAACAACGCATTGTCTGATTTGTCTAAAAATTTCAGGGCAGATATAGATCTTGACCTGATGAACAATTTTACCCCTTTGTCAGTTTTGCTCTAAATGCTTAAGTTTCAGAGATTTTAAGCCAAATCTACAATTTACCCCTATGTTCTATTTTTAGCCATGGCTGACACATTTTTTTTTAACTAGATACCACAATGATGATTGTGGCCAAGTTTGTTTAACTTTGGCCCAGAGGAGAAGATTTTTGTAAAAGTTAACGACGGACAACGGACGCCAAGTGATGAGAAAAGCTCACTTGGCCTTTTTGGCTAGGTGAGCTAAAAACTTATGCAGTGTCAAAAAATACTTTTTTCATACTGAAACCTTTTAAAAACTTGCCCTTATACTATAACATACCAGGTAGTGATCCTTTGGACTTTTCTTTAGACACGTCTTCGACATAATCCTTGAAGTATGTTCTTACAACCTTTTCATCCTCCTTATTCCAATTAACATATCTCCTTCCTACAATGAAAATTACTATGGTCACTTAGTACTCTTTCAATAAAGGTACAAATTTAATAACAAACCCAGAAGTTTCAGTGAAGATTTTTGAAAAAGTTTACGACGACAGACATCGACAACTAACGACAGACGCCAAGTGTGATGACATTAGATCACATAGGCACTTTTGAACCCGGTGAACTAAAAATGATACCCTGTTGCTGTAGTGCCCAATTTGAAATTGACTTCAAGATGATAGTTACTTTCATTCAATGCTTTAAAATTGGTAATTCAGGGCTCGACAATAACGCTTGTCCGATACCAGAGGGAAAAAGGGTCGGACAAGTAAAAACTATATCAAGCTTGTCCGACGGGACAAGTAAAATTATTCTGCATAAAATAAATTTAATCCAACTTTGATGAAAACAAGACATGTTTACTTGCAATCGATAATTTAAAACTGGTTCTTTGTCAGGTACTTTTTAACAGGTAAAATGCATACTATTCTCGGAAACCAGTCTTACTGATCCGAATCAGCGATGCGCTTTGTAGATAAGGTAACTTTACAAGACAGTTCGTCACAAGCTCAGAAACGATTCGGCTCCAAGTTTAACATGTTTAATAGACAGTTTGGCCCCATAGGAGACATATTTAATAGACATGATTAATAGACAGTTTGGCAACGCAGGAGACATTTCGGGACCAAGACAAATCAGTACCTCATTTTCCTACCTTATTCTGTTGCTTTATAATAAATAACATACCGGTAATTTTTTTAACAAAAATATTTTTTAGATAAAAATGAAAAATTATTTACAATTAAATTCACAAAATCATATTTGATCATATGTACAAAAAAAAAACAATACTTGCAATACGGTGACCTATAGTTGTTAATTTCTGTGTCATTTGGTCTCTTGCAGAGAGTTGTCTCATTGGCAATCATACCTCATCTTTTTTTTATTTATTGCATTTGAATAAACTTTTTTCAACTTTAAAAAACCAGGATACAAATCCAATGAGTGTACATTGACAGCCCTATCAGATGGTGCCTCATGTGCAGAATCTGATGAGACTTTGGCATTGAGGAACTACAAGTAGAACCTAAGTTCTGTGACATGACTAGATTCAGTTAATTGTATTCAACTCATATTTTTGAATAGTATTTCAAAAGATATAAATCAAATTCTGTTCTATTGTTTTAATTCTTTTTGTTCCTTGAATCAACTTAAAATGCAAAAAAGGTTATTATTAAGATTTTTTTGGACAAGTTACAATTTCATTCGGACAAGTAAGTTTTGGTATGTACTTGCCCTACTGGACAAGTTGAAACAAAAGTTATTGTAGAGGCCTGTACTTGTTACCTGGCTACGTAATTAATACTTGAATAGTATAATCTTTTAAACATCTAATCACTTATCTCAGTGTTATCTATTTATGGTTAAGCACAACTTCATCAGTAATACTACATGACTGTCAGTCTCAAAGTACAATCTTTCTTACTATTGTAATAGCCTGATCTAAATAAGAAGTTCAGAGGAGCCTGTGTCTCTCACCTGAAATTTTTGTTTACAATTGATGGATGAAATAATGCAACCATTATACTTTTGCTTTAGTTTCAGAGATATAAGCCAAAAACTGCATTTTACCTCTATGTTCTATTTTTAGCCATGTCAGCTATGTTGGTTGGCAGGCGGGATCATTGGACACAATTTTTAACCTAGATAACTTATGATGATTGTGGCCAAGTTTGGTTAAATTTGTCTCTGTAGTTTCAGGAGAAGATTTTTGTAAAAGATTTCAAAAATTTACAAAAAATTGTAAAAAAATTACTTTAAAGGGCAACAACTCCTTATAGGGTCAATTGACAATTTTGGTCATGTTGACTTATTTGTAGATCTTACTTTGCTGAACATTGCTGTTATCAGTTTATCTCTATTTATAATAATATTGAAGATAATAACTAAACATGCAAAATTTCCGTAAAATTACCAATTCAGGGGTAGCAACCCAATGACGTCTTGTCTTGTTCGTCTAAAAATTTGTAGCAGATAGATCTTAACCTAATGAACATTTGTAAACCTTGTCAGGTTTGCTCTAAATGCTTTAGTTTCAGAGATATAAGCCAAAAACTGCATTTACCCCTTATGTTCTATTTTTAGCCATGGTGGCCATGTTGGTTGGTAAGCGGGGTCATCCAACACATTTATTAAAACTAAATCCCCCAATGATGATTGTGGCCAATGCAAGTTTGGTTAAATTTGGCCTTGTATTTTCAGAGGAGAAGATTTTTGTTAACGGACGACGCTGGACGACGGACACCAAGTGATGGTGAGCTAATGTCACTTTTTTCATAGTAAAATTCAGCTTATCAATATTCTGAGTGCCAAAAAAATCTTATCTTTTAAAGTTCAAATTATATCTTACTCAATATTGAAAATTGCATAAAATTAAGGAGATATGGTAACATTTTTTTAAAACTTACCTTTCTTTTTACTTCTGATTTGTTCTTCAATTTGGTCATCTGCAATTTAAAAAGAGAGGACATAACCAAGGAAAGATTCATTCTCATAAGTCAGCCAACCAAACAATAAATTTTCTAATTAGAATGAATTTGATATAATTCAAATGATTAGCTAATGTATAGAAATGCATACATTCATATATTTCAAATAAAATTGGTTGATAAAAATTTATAATAGTTAATATCCACATGATCGATAATACTTAATCTATTACCTTTACTTTTTCTTTTTAACCCTCTCTTGTGTGAACTGCTGCCTAATAAAGAAAAAAAAAGAAACATGAACTTTTAAAGAAAAATATGCTATAAATCCCTTAACCATGTTATTGCAATACTAATTGCAGTGCATGTCAAAATAAAGTTGATAACCACAATTATGTATTTATAGGATTAAAATGTCTATGTGGATATTTTAAATCACTATTTCCTGTAAAATCTACATTTGGTTACTGACATAATAAAATGCCTTTGAATACTATAGTGGTTTTGAATATTCAGACAAACAAATGTTGTCTCATTTTTACTGTAAAGGTATTCAAATGTAGTATCATGTCAGAGTCCTGATCATAAACATAGAAAAGGTAAGAAGATACCAAGACAAAGCATAAAATAAACCTTACTAAAAGTCAGGAAATACTCCTCAAATGCTTTTCTATGATAAACATTTCCAGCTTCACTAGTTGTAACCTTTGTGTTGTTCGTTAGAAGCGAAAATATGGTGACAAGTTGCATTCAGTGAATAATAAAAACTAAAGATAGAGATACTTTGGCTGCAGTAAATATTTCTTTTGAATGGGCCATATCAAGATTGTGTGAAAATCAGGAATTGTATTCTTTGATCTATTTTCGCATTATGACTAGGAATAGCAACATTATATTGCATACTTCATACTGTAAACCAACTTATTTTCGCGAGTGATTTATTTTCGTGACTTTCGTGAGAAGAACGATTATGCGAATATAAATCGTCGTGGAAAGTAAAACTTGGATGTTTCCTTATTAATCTTCCTCAAGTTTTGAGAATTGCGAAATTAAATCGGCGCGATATGGGATAGAAACAGCTAAACACAAAATTAAGTATCCGTGAAAAATAAGTTGTTTGACAGTATTTCTTTTAATTGATTTTTGTTGTTGTTGATAATTCACTTCTATATACTGACTAGTGTTAGTTTTGTCCTGTTGTAGACTAGACATAGTTTTGGTTTAAGTAAAAAATCATGAGTGCCTAGTGAATTGAATGGTCTTTTCTATTATTTTCTTTCAAACAGTTTTATTTTTATGTAGTAATCAATGTTCATTGAGAAATTCATTAGAGTTGATGTTAGTATTCTAAAAAGAATGAGACAAGGGTTTCCTATCTGGAATTCTTTTTAGGAGGGTTGGTTATCTCTCAGGTGTTATCAAACCAAGGTTTCTGAATTGTTTGATTGAGATATACAAATTATTTTATCACATCCATGGCAATAATACCAAATTTCCTTATTTACAATAGTTCCAAATTCTGGAACGATGTGTGGGAAATTATTAAAGAAATGCCGTTTGAGAAATTGCACAACTTTAATAAGGGTGCAATCTTTCTGTAAATTTTTTCAAATATCCTAGGATTAGTAAATTACCAAAGATGGTACCTTTTTCAACCTGCTCCCGTAACATTATTGTACTGGTTTTTGTTCATCATTGAAGGCTGTACTTTGACCTATATTTGATTACACCCACATCACTTAATCTTCGGTAGATTAAACTATTTCAATTGTAATCATACCACACATCCTTACAATTTTCATTTTGTGTTTAAGCAAGCCAAAATATATACCTTCACCATAATCTGTACTATAGTCACTTTCTGGACTAGAATCATTCTCTGAGTCACTTTCTGGACTAGAATCATTCTCTGAGTCACTTTCTATACTAGAATCATTCTCTGAAGAACTGTATACCACGACTGAAAAATAATTATCAGAAGTTATATTTTAACAATAGATAACCTTATATAAACATATGTTCATTGAATTTTTTTCTGAACAATTTTAAAAATACCAATTAGTTTAAATAAGATTTTGAAGGAAATATGTTAAGTAAATTTTCTCAATGGCTATTCTGCTTGACCTGAGAGAGTCTAGTGTCAAATACTTCCTCTCCTGCAAACACTAAACACTTATTCTTTTCAAGGTTAAATTGTCCCCTTGGGTGCAGGACATTTTAGTAACAAATTTGTAACTTCAGGGGTACTCTTTAGTTTAGCATTTTAGTGCTAATATTATAGTCCTTTTAGGCTCTGGATTAATCCATTTACCTGTATTTTCTATGGCCCATTTGAGCAAAAACTTATGCCTAGTTGAATAATACTACAAGGCCTATGATAAAACCATGAACAGTAATGTATGCTAGGTTAGTGTCTAATTTGTTTGTATTTAAAATTTTGTTAAAAATAGAAATAAATGTTGTTGAAACAAACAAAAGATAAAAATGCAATATGTGATGGTGTTTCTGTATACTATTATCAAATTACAATTCTCCAAAATGTCCTCCACAGGTCTCGTTTTAGCAAGGACATTATCAATTATAAATTCACAAGAAAATGTTCTTGTAAATAATAACAATAAAAACATCATTGAGATAAAAAAAAATATATAAAAAAATGGTATGGTATAACTTCCATACAATGATATTATTTCCCTACTCCAATAGCAAACGAGGAATACAGCAGGCTATAGGAGCTTTGAGTAAAATTGGTTTAAAATGTTGCTATATAAATAATTTCTTAGAGTACAAACTTCAATTCATTTTTTGATAGGTGTATACCTCTCTTGAACTTGCCAATATTTCAAATATGTATCCAGCCATAGATGAGAGAAGTTCATTTTTTAACAATTTTTTTTTTATTTCACATACTTATGCAATTAACTCAATAAATAATGAAAATAAAACATCATGTGTTTGCATATGTTTCTAATAACACATGCACAGTAATGTAAGATTGTTTAGAAATAATTTTATTTATATCATAAGTTACTTTTCTATTGGTTAATTGGTTTTACCACTGAATTTCTAACTTGACATTTTTTTTAAACCAAAAAATCTGAAAAAGAACCATCCCCTAATGAAAATGTTTAAAATAATTTAAAAACACAAACTTCAATTGGTATGATTTGAATTGTTAGTTACTAAATGTCTAGTAGCAAATATTTCATGCATATTCAAGATTATTGGTATGAGAACTTTAAAATAAAACAATGCAGACTAAAAAATCTGAAAGGTAAAACATATCATCGTAATAATAAATGGTATAATTTGATATTTTGAAGGTCTTTTACAGCCATTTCATACATTTAAGTGATAATTTAAAGCATATAATTGAGGTGGTTAATTATGCTTAACCCTGTAATTTTGTGGAACTCAAAGTTAAAGTAAGAAAATACATATTACATTTCTTTTGTCCTTTCTTTTCAGTACTTTTTGTCAATTCACTGCTACCTTCATCTACTAAAAGTGGAAAAAAACAGTAATCCTTTAATTTTATATACAAAAATAATTTATTAAAATTAATTAAATAAACTAAACACAAGTGAACCTGAACGCCTGGTAAATCTTCTGTCAGTAGATTTCATACAGTGGTATACAGGGTTGTTACAATAAAAACATAAAATGAAGAAGGTAAGGTAACAACAACACTTTAAGGACAGACAATTAAAAAGTCACAATGTTGCTATGGTGAGTAACGTTATAAATAACAATTGAAAGAGAAAGTGAAAGTAAGTAGATTATATGGAAGTAAACTATTAAAGGGGCTCTAGCTGTCAAATTCATGTTCACCAATTTAACTAAAATTCTCATATTTGATTTATAACAATGTAAACATTTGTCCAAACTATTGAAAGTTTTAAATTAACAGTTTACAGGTCATGAGCTCTATAATATGTAGCTTCGTTTCGTGTGTATTTTAGTCCAGACGCCATCATATTAAATATCGAGTTAACCTTTGATGACCATATAAGCGATTTAAACATAAATATAGATATAAATAGATTAAGCAACTTGTGCAATTAGATTTTTCTAGGTCTGTTTAATTTCATATTATAGATTAAAAATATATGTTTATTATTGTTTTTACCTGTATAAGAATGATTTTTTGTGGATCTAATCAGTCAATCAAATAATTAACTTTTGTTTCACTTTAAATGTTGACATTCTTTTCCCTTAAATAACTTTACACGGACAATTCATGCATTATCCATCTCTAGCTAAGGAGTTACATTGAAGTTCATATGAATACGGATGCATTGGGATTGAATTATTCACTTGCAAGTGAATAATTCATCATCAATGTTTCTTAGATTTTAAAATTTGACAAAATTGAACCATACTGGCTGCTTAAAGCCAATAATTATTTCACTATTTCACTTTCATTAATGATTGTACAAAAAAAATCATATTTTAGATTTTTTATATATCTCGTAGCTAGTGCCCCTTTAAGATAAATTAAAAATACAATTTTGTTGTTGTTAAAATGATAATATATGTGTACATGTACTATAAATTGAAAATATGTTACATGCAATTATCTAAATTAATGAATGCATACCATTACAATACAAATTATTATACCTTACATATGTACTAAACAATTCTTTTGGGTAAAACACTATCACGTGACATGGAATAATTCAGTAAATTTTCATTTAAATTGAAGGAAGCATGAATAATCCTAAAAATTAACACCCAGCGATGAATAACCCTACAAATTAACACCCATTGGGGAATAACCTTTTGAGCCTCTTAGTTTCTGCACACGTTCTTTCTCATAGAAAATGACTTCATCAACGTTTGTAAACAAAATGGCAAGCCAGCGGTTTGGGAACTCTACAGAGGACAATATACAAAGACTTCTTTGTGACAAAGACGCTAAAAACACAAAAAAAGCAACCAAAGCAGCTTTGACATGTCTGATGCAATTCATGTTATCGACAGAAAGAGATAACTTGGTATTTGATACACCAGAAAAACTGAACGAGTGTTTAATCAGATTTAACACAGACGCCAGGAAAAAAGATCATAAGCATATTACAAATTTTCAGCTCTGAAGGGATTAAGATTAGGACTAGCCAGGCATTTCCTTTAGGAAATGGATGTTGACATAATAAAAGACATATAAGATTCAAAAGGGCAAATGATATATTTAAAGCCGTTTCTTTGCAACTGAAACGGGAAGGATTTTGGAGCATTGACCACACCCCATCGTTGGGTCAACAAGACTTGCAAAAGTGATATGGAAGTGTTGCCATGGAAACTGATACCCGTGCAGGACTCCCTACACAAAGTATGGTTTGATATTATGTTTCACTTATGTCGGCAAGGACAAGAAAACCTATGAGAAATGAACAAAAGAACCTTTGCCATACAAACAGATGCCAGTGGAAGGGAGTATGTTTTCCAGGCCCATCATCAGCTTGATAAGAACCATCAAGAGAGTTCAGATAGCTGCATTACTGAAGGTCGCATGTATGAGTACCAAGTAAGGAATAACTCTAATCTAACCAACTATAGAGAAAAGTTCAGCAAATTTCAAACAAACAAAAAAAAGAGAGAAAAATTGCAACTTCTAAATTACACAAAAAAAATTTAAATTTGATTTGATTGTCAAATAGGCTATTGAGACTTACATGGCTTCAATTCGTTTGCTGTATTGTTTTTAAGTTGATGAAAAATCAGAGGAAATGTTCGTTTAACTTGCATGAAAAGACATTGATCACAATAAAAATGGTAAATACCAAATAAAAAAAAACGAACTGAAACTCTTTAATTATCACTTGATTCGTATGAGCATGCCCAAGTTTATAGAAGTGAATGTATTTATAACTATAAACATGAGAAACTGACAGATTTGTTTACCTATATTTTAATTTTTTTTTTAGATCACCCTCTGTGTCCTGTGGCAACTTTCAAAAGTACTTGTTCAAGCTAAATCCAAAAAGAGATGACTTATGGCAGTGTCCACTAAATTCTTAGAACCACTCCTGTGAAATATGGTACATGAACCAGGTTTTAGGAAAAAAACTTTGGCTAACTTAATGAAAGTTATCTCCAGACAAGCTGGTCTATCTCAAGAATTTACAAACCACTCAAATCATATAAAGTTCAATTTTGGACCCTTTAGAACTCAATGTGGACCAATTTGATAAAGGGGCCCAAATATCAAAAATCTACATACATGGTTAGATTCAGCATATCAAAGAACCCCATATATTCAATTTTTCAATTTTTTTGAAATCAAACAAAGTTTAGTTTTGGACCCAGATTTGGACCAACTTGAAAACTGGGCCCATAATAAAAAATCTAAGTACATGTTTAGATTCAGCATATCAAAGAACCCCAAGAATTCCATTTTTGTTAAAATCAAACTAAGTTTAATTTTGGACCCTTTGGACCTTAATGTAGACCAATTTGAAAAAGGGACCAAAAATTAAGAATCTAAATACACAAAAAACTCAATAACTCTAAAATAAAATTTTAGATCATCACCAAAAAATATACAGATCTTTAGATTAATATAACTAAGAAGTGTGTAAATTTTTAAGCAACAATCATAAATCGTTTTTGAGATACAGCGCGACATGTGTAAAAACACACATGTGGACACTGGACAGACAGACAGACAGACAGACAGACAGACGGACGGATGGCTGGACGCCGGACATTTGTATACCATATTACGTCCCGTCAAAATTTTGACGGGCCTATAAAAAATTCTTTTATTTATCTGTGTAAAATACAGAGGTCCTTTCTTGGCAATTTTTTCATACTGCAATTAATGGTTTGTGAATTTAATTGCATTAATATAAAATTTTCATGTTTTGTTACTTTTATTATACTAAGGCATGAGTTCAATTTGAAGAAATGCAATTTAATGAATATTTACCTTCACTTTTTGCACACTTGTTGTCATTCAGTGATGATGGTCCTGCGACATCCTCTAATAATACAAAGTAAATATAGAATAACAGAATGAATTGATTTATATAGAATTGCCCAAACACTAATTAGTGAAATAACCCATTGCCAGTTAGTAATAGATTAAACAGGTCAAGAGCACATGGTAAGCCCTTATATTATGCATATATTGAAATTGTTGCAAAAATAAAATGAGGTCTTTAGAAGGCATATAATCAGAGGCAAATAAAACTGCTCTGTAGAAAAATATGCACGAGGATACCCTTAGGCATATATATGTACTGTCAATTATGACTGTAAAAGGTCCAATAACTCTGGAATGACAAACGATACATTTCAAAATCAAGAGATCATTCACCTATCCAAATAATTCCCGAAAACAGTATTAAGGTACCTGGGGTGTCTTAAAGTTTGGGAATATATGTTTCTTAAATTCCTGTAAAAGACTTCTGGGTCAATCTTCTTTCAAATTTCAATATAAAAACTAGAGGTCATAGATCTTGTTTTTTCTTTTAAATTACATTGAAATTAACCAAATCACTGTTATGTTATATGGGTTATATAGTAGAAACTCAATTTTGAGGAAAGGTTTAAAGATAGAATTGGTTAAAATTCAATGAGAGCATTCAGCTCGGCTCTCCATAAATACATACTTCCAAAATATCAAATAAAAGTAGAATGAATAACTGGGTGGACAGGTATAGTTGTCCTTATTGCACTCATACCACATTTCCTTATTTTAATAGAGATTGCAGGGTCTTTCGCTTGTACTGTGTCCATGTGGTAGAATGTGTCCCTGTGCTTGTTGTGTATGTCCTTAAATTTAACAGCTATGGGTTTTTTGCTTGTGAGAAGCAGGGATGGGGTTGATTATTTTAAAATGTAATCGATTATATTACAATTACTTTGCTAATAAAATGTAATCGATTATATTACAATTACTTTGCTAATAAAATGTAATCGATTACATTACAAATTACACCTTATTTCAAATGTAATAGATTACATTAGATTACTTTTCTTTAAATATGTTAAAGTAATCATGATTTCTTTGGATAACTTTTGATTACATTCAATATTGCAATATCAAAGAATTTCTTATAACTTTTTATCCTCACGAAAAAAGCTAATTTAGGTGATTTTTTTTAAGCCTTAATTTATTCATCTTATTTAAAAGAATTTAGACAAGTTCAGTGTAACATGTGAAAAGTAGACAAGTGTCCTTTCTCTATGTAAAAGATATAACTTTGTTTTATTCTACAAATTTTAATCAACTGCCCAATTAACAAAAAACCTGAACAAGTAATGAAAAATCAATTAAGTATAGTTTCATTGTCTGAGGGGACATAATTGACACATCCATAAATGTTTTTACAGGTGTTAATCACTACTTTTTACAAACAATAGGTGAGCTTGGGTAGTAAAATTTTATTGTCTTAATCACAATATCAACAAGAGTTCTCAAGAGCCTGAATCACTCAGCTGTATTTCAGAAGAGAAGATTTTTAAATGTTAGTAAACTTGATGAACAAATTGTGTAAAATTGTCTTTAAAGGGCAATAACTCCTTAAGGGGTCAATTGACAATTATGGTCATATTAAATTTTTTGTAGATCTTACTTTGCTGAACATTATTGCTGCTTACAGTTTATATATATCTATAATAATATTCAAAATAATAACAAAAAACTGCAAAATTTTGTTAAAACTACCAATTCGGTGGCAGCAACCCAACAATGGGTTGTTCGATTCGTCTGAAAAATTCAGAGCTGATATATCTCGACCAATTGAACAATTTTACTCCTGTCAGATTTGCTCTAAAAGCTTTAGTTTTTGAGATTTAAGCCAATAAAATGCTCCGCTGAGGCGCAGCTTGATACGACCACAGAGGTCGAACCCTGAACAGTTGGGGCAAGTATGGACACAACATTCAAGCTTGATACAGCACTGAATTTGGATTGTAATTAAATATTTGACACAGCATAGGTTTCTCACTAAGAATGAAAGTGGTCTAAGAACTTAAAAATTTTTAATTTACATATTCAAACCATATCATTATTATTTGTTTTTATATATAAATCAGAAATAACCAATTTAAAATGGAAAATTTTAAAGAAAAAGAAGGAAAAAAATATCCCCCCCAATTTTTTGAACCCCCTTATGATTCATCACCCCCAAACTCAATCCCAGCTTTCCCTTTGTGGTATGGTACCTTGCAGTACAATTTCAGAGAGATCCATACACTTGAAAACAAGTTATTGTCTGGAAACTAGAAAAATGCTTGTTTTTTGGCCCCTTTTTGGCCCCAAATTCCTAAACGTTTCAGGCAATTACCCCCAAACTCAAACCAAGCTTTCCCTTTGTGATATGGAACCTTGCAGTACAATTTCATAAAGATCCATACACTTACACACAAGTTATTGTCCTGACACTAGAAAAATGCTTGTTTTTTTGCCCTTTTATGGCCCCTAATTACTAAAATTTTGAGGGAATTACCCCCAAAATCAAATCCCAGCCTTCCCTTTGTGGTATGGTACCTTGCAGTACAATTTCAGAGAGATCCATACATTTGAACACAAGTTATTGTCTGGAAACTAGACAAATGCTTATTTTTGGCCCCTTTTTGGCCCCTTATTCCTAAACCTTTTGGGCAATTACCCCCAAACTCAATTCCAGCTTTCCCTTTGTGATATGGAACCTGGTAGTACAATTTCATTAAGATCCATACACTTACACACAATCTGTCATGAAACTAGAAAAATGCTTGTTTTTTGCCCCTGTTTGGCCCCTAATTCCTAAAATTTGGACGCAATTACCCCCAAAATCAATCCCAGCATTCCCTTTGTGATATGGAACCTTGTGATACAATGTCAGAGAGATCCATACACTTACACACAAGTTATTGTCATGAAACTAGAAAAATGCTTGTTTTTTGCCCCTTTTTGGCCTCTAATTCCTAAAATTTGGAGGCAATTGCCCCCAAAATCAATCCCAGCATTCCCTTTGTGATATGGAACCTTGTGGTACAATGTCAGAGAGATCCATACACTTACACACAAGTTATGTCTGGAAGTTACAAAAATGCTTATTTTTGGCCCCTTTTTTGCCCCTAATTCCTTAACTGTGGGTACCATAACCCTCAAAAGCAATCCCCACTTTCCTTTTGTGGTATTGAACCTTATGGTAAAATTTATTGAGATCCATTCACTTAAACTAAAGTTAGAGTGCGAAAACTAATGTGTCTTCGGCAACAACGACGTCGCCGACGACGACACCAACGTCATACCAATATACGACCACAAAAAATTTTTTGCAGTCGTATAAAAACTGCATTTGACCCCTATGTTCTATTTTTAGCCATGGACGCCATGTTTGTCGATGGATCAAAACTTCGGATACAATTTATAAACTAGATACCCTAAGGAACATTTAGTTAAAGTTTGAAGGTATTTGGTCCAGTAGTTTCAGAGGAGAAGATTTTTGAAATAGTTTACGACGACAGACGACGACAGACATCGACAACAGACAACAGATGACGACGGACGCCAAGTGATGGCATAAGCTCACATGCTGCCCTTCGGTGAGCTAATAAAGTTAAAAGTGGTTTATTGTCATTATTTATATAATTGTTTAAAAATATTAATACTTGATGTAATTAGAAAGCACATACCAAAAAATATTTATGGACATTTTTGTTGTTCCTTGCATGATTGACAACTTGAACTCATTGTTAGAGTCAATTAACTTTGAAACATTCAAAGGATTTATATAAGTTCAAGCTTCAAGTGATGGTTAGCTTGCCTTGGCTAACAAATTTAAAGTCGACAGTAAAATTGATAAATCACTGCATCTCGCATCTAATTATCAATTCTATTGAAAAAGCTTTTGAAAAAGCTTATCTACCATGCCTTTCCAAATCCAAAAGGCTTTGCAGTAGCCCTAAACACATGAAACAGTTTCAAAACCACTTTTGAAAACGTCTACTAAAAGATTATCTACTAATTACTGTAGAGTCATAAATTTTTACCATGTTTTTTATTATTGCAAAAATTGTGGTGAGAAAGGACTTGCAAAACTCCCATCTAAAATTTTGATAACATTATTTCTATGCAGCTTTTCCATAAATCTCAATAATCAAACTCGCATTTGTTTCGATTGTTCAATGATCACAATAATTTCTAAATCTGTTTAATCTAAAATTTTATAGATGACAGAGTGAATACTTGACCCATTTAAAATTTTTATTCATATTTTGCATGAGTAATTGAGTAAGCAATGTAAAAAAAAATGATAATAAATAAAAGGGGCTTTACCACCCTCTTCCAAAAAGTAGAAGTTTAGATTGCTAGCATGCTTTTAATGAAAAAAGGAGGAAATAACACTAATGCCACTATATCAGAAAATAATACCTTGACTGTTGGGTTCCTCTTCTGCTGTTATATTACCTGAATCTGAAACAGAAACAATGCGATTGTTATTTAAACAAAACCTATAAAACACTTATCATAATAAGATAACTGTTGACACAGAGATATGTCTCACCAGTAATATCAGCATAAAATTCTGAAAAAGACAATCGAATGAAACTTAACAGTGACAAATGAACCATTTAAATGAGGAAGAGTCAGATGAAACCTGTACACTATTGAATCAATATAGTTGACCTCCTAAATATGACATCTGACATACAGACTTGACCATGAAAACTTCCCCTTTATGACTGATACATAAATGTCTCAGGTGAGGTCTGATGAACCTTGTCTGACAGACATGTACAGATATGTACACCTTGCAAAGGTCCTGTATACAAAATATAGTTATCCTATTACTCATAATAATGAGTATTTCAAATGATAAAAAATTTATACATTTTTTGTATGCAGTCATTAAACTATGAAAATGAGGTCAAGGACAATGGACATTTGACAGACAGAAACTTTATAACATATGGTATCTGCACAAAAAGATATGAAAACCTAAGGTCTACTAATTTCTGAAATATAAATTGTATACAAATAGTTTACTCTGCTGTCAATGCCGACAGATAATAATCCTTATAGCTCCCATTCTAAGGCTTTTTCAGAAATGGTATTTTAAACTTTTTTGGAGTAAAATGTAACTATCTTGTTTGATAGAATAGACAATTTAGATCAGAACAGCTATAAATCTGATGTTTGGACCATGTAAAATCAATATGTTTACACGATTTAGCTTAGAACATAAATGAAACTCACCTAAATCAAATTGGTGAAAGAACTTCCCCACTTTACTTATTTCTTGTATTGCCAATGGACATTGATAAACGTGTTTGTTAACTTCTTCAGAATGTCCCATATGTCTGTAGAAGGCTTCTCTTGTAGCATCTGTTACCTCCAAATTGGCAAATAATGTTGACATGTAATGCCTCATCTGAGTAGCATTAATCCTTTTTGATAATTCTGCCTTCTTACAAATTTTGTTTACACTTTTCCAGCCGCATACATGAAAGTTTGAATCTTTAATATTAGGAAATACGTATATATTAGTTTGTTTAACACCTGCTGCTTGTCTAATTTGCTGATCTGTTAGTTTTGTCATGGCCTTCCATGTGTCTTCAGGGATGAGAATTGGGAGAAGGTGACTAACACATTTACCAGATTGATATGTCAATTTATATTTCTGAAAAAGTTCTAATTCCTCTGGGTTTTTCACCTTTTTCATTTGGCTTTCATCTACCCATGCATCATCCTTTGCATCCATCCATTCTTTTAAAGTGAGTCTGCTTGGTTCCCCTCCTCTTTTTGCATGGAATAATGTTAGTCTACTAACTATAAGATCTCTGAGAAAGGTATATTCATTTGGTTCTAAAAACTTATAAGGGTCATCCAACTCTTTTATTTGTGTTAAGATAAACTGCCTAAGCTTATTAATGTCATCCTCTACTGGTAGCTGTCTAGGTCGTCTCAAGTTTTCTTGCCTATTTTTTTTGCAATTATACTCAGCATCACTAAATATTTCTCCTTTATAGTAGTCTAATAATGTATTGAAATCGTCAACTTTACTCATTTCATCTTTCTTGTTTTCTAAAATATATTTTCCTTTTAAGTGGGTAAGGACATTTTGTATAAGATGACCAACATTCTTTTTCAGTCCTGACTTCATCCCTCCGTCATCTTTTGCTGCCATTGAATTAATTCCATCCATAAAAACAGGAAAGTTCTCCATTTTAAAAATATCTAATGCAGATGTTACAGTTATATCTGATTTTTCAGCCTCCTCTTTAACATAGAAATATAAATTGGCAATTGTTCTCATCTGCTTCGTAATACTTTTCCTATTTTGCTGGGATTTGTCTTTTCTGGATACCATCTTCCTATAATAATGAAATCCAAAATCTTTTATATATGGATCACTTCTACAGAATCTTCCACTCTGGTCATCCCAAAAGGAACTCAAAATATCTTCCTTATATTCTTCTGAGTATTTGACATCCTTAACAGTTTCTATGGGTATAGCAACAGGAACCCTAGTGCATCCTTCTGCTGCAAAACATTTTATTTTGTGATTCTTCATATGTTCTTTTACAAAAAAACCATTGCAAGAAGAGCACATTGCTCTTTTCTCTATCTCACCATCTCTGTCTTTTCTTGCTTTTCGTTCTTTAATCAATTTTTTTTCGTTAAAATCATCCTCTTTCATTTTTAATAAATTATAATTATGGTAGCCTTTTCTCTTTAACACATCAAATGCCTGGTTCCTATCCCTTGGTGGGAGTTGCATTGCCATGATAACATCCTCTTCTCCTTTATGTTTTGTTTTTAGATGTCTGGTCAGATGAGTTTGAAATTTTCCACAAAACAAACAAGGTCTTTTAGGTTTGCCATTAGCTGTAAAAATGGAATTATTACTATATATATATTTATATATACATGTATATGATACTTGCTAACTGGCAACTATGAAAACTCTTTTGATAAATTGTAGCTATTTTATGCTGCTATTATGCAGTTAACATTTTGTTTGTTTATGTACCTTACATTATACATATGACTTAAACATACATTTCTTAAATTCTAACATATTCAAGTTCTTCGAATCCTTGACTCTTGCATTTTTTGGTTTGAGCAATCCTGAAAAAAGCAAATCTAGAAAATTGTTTCAGAAGCACCAAAGGAGTACGTTTCATAAGGGTTTTATTTGGCCCCAAATGATAAGACCATTGTATCGAGAAAATAAATATTTCAATCTGATGAAGAGTGAAGTTTTCTTATAAAGCGATAAAAATTTACAACAACAAAAGGCAATGCAAAAGTAGAGCTTTTGGTGTAATTTGACAAAATCCACTAGAACTCAAACATAATTAGGTCCATCAAATATTAGAGTGCAGGCACTGACAAACTAAATATAAGTTTGAAAGTCAAATATGGAAAGTGTTATCACAAACATTATGTAAAAAAAATTATTGTTGTAAACAAATGTTCATGCATGTTTCCAATCCGAAAAATCAATGGAAATTTTGACCTTTTTTAATTGAACTGACATGGAAAAATAAATTCTGTGAGATGATGAAAACAAGTGAAACTGCGAGCTTCTGCTCACTGATGATACTCCCACCCAAATGTTTCAGTAAACAGGAACCTGTTGAGTGATTAATTAGTCAGGAGCCTGTAATTCAGTGGTTGTCGCTTGTTATTTTGTAACATACATGCAGTGTAACCTGCCTAATCCAACATCTGAGTATTCCAACATCCTGCTTTAACCCACATTTTTTCATGGTCCAAAATTATGCCTATCCTTGCAGAAAAACATGAGTTTTCCAACACCCTGCTTAATTTGATAATTTTTTTTGTTGTCCCCTATGGTGTCAGATAACACAGGTTACAATGACTTTCTTTTTTGGTCATTTTTTGAACTTAGTTTTCTCGTTTGAATTGTTTTACATTTGTCATTTCAGGCCTTTTATAGCTGACTTTACGTATGGGTTTTGCTCATTGCTGAAGGCCATACAGTGACCTTTTGTTCATAAAATTTACCTCTACATAAAAACAATTCAGTTTCTTCGTTAGCTCCATCATCAATTACTGTTTCATTATACCTATCACCAGTCTAATTAAAAGAAAAAAATATAGCTTATCATTTTTATCATTACCAATACTGTTATTGAAGAATTAATGCAACTATGACTAAGAGATCTAGTGATAACAGATATCCAAAAATGATAAATGACAAAATAAAAATTTAAATTGCATATGACCTGTATTTCATGTTTCATAGCAATGTGTTAAAATTAAAAAGATACTGTAAAACACTATTTTTGCATTTGTTTTCAACTCATTGTTGAAGATTGCTCTTTTTTATTAATACAGCTGTTTCACAAGCCATGTCTCTTTTTAGGAGATAAATAATACTCAGATATTTTGTTTTATTTATGTACTAATTCCCAGATTTGATCTCTATGTTTCATCTCAAAGGACATAACTTGGAAATATTACCAGTCTTAAAACTCATGGTAGCGGTGACTATTTAATACTGAGGAAGGCCCAAAGTAAAGGTAGTGCTAAGAACAGAATTTTAGTATAAGTTTAAATTCTTAGAAGTTTGGGGCATATTAATGTTAAAAATATGCCACACATCCCTATGTTTTGACCTTTGAATTACATAGTAGTGCAATTTTTTTTTACGAAATTCATAGTAAAAGGGGCACAGTTTTACAAAAATGGCTCTAAAGAGAGTTCCTATGTGAAATTGCATTGTCTATATTTACTGAAGTGCAATCTGAAGACCGTATGGTGACCTAAAGTTGTTAATTTCTGTATCTCTTGTGGAGATTGAGTTGTCTCATAGGCAATCATACCACATCTTCTTATTTTTATTTTTGATATCACCTTCAAACCAAAAAGATAATGATCATAATCACTATATGAGACCTGCCATGACAGTTTGTGTCCAATTAAATAAGTTCTTATTTTAAATATATGATGTCTGTGATAATATTTTTCCAGAGAAATGCCGTAAAAGGTCAGGGAATTATCAAATATTTTAGTCTTTGCTGGAAATGAAAAATCACTTCTGATGTTAGAGTAAACAAATTTCGCTGCAGAAATATGGCAAGTCAGGATAGTATTGCTTTACATCTTTCTACCGCCACCACAATTACTAGGTTTTATTTGAAAAGATTGAGATTTAGATTTTCTTGATGAAATTCAATAACAATAGTGAATGATCTATACCCCGTGAACTCTGAATCAGAAAAGTCTGAGAGACAAATTTCATACAGTGACATAGAGTCTGACACTGACAGTTCCATTTATGATGAATGTGTGGCCAGGTCTTAAGCTAGTGGAAGTACTGATGATATTAGTTATTAGTTAACAAATGCACACATTCAGGAGATCAGATCAGTTTTTGCATTGAAATCTAACACATGTAAAAGTATATGTATGGGAAGCCATGCAGTACAATATTGACTGGGAATCGTTGGTTGAATATAAAAATATATAAAATAGCCTCCCTTTTTTAACGAGTCAAGTTACATAACTCCTCAATGTCATTATTTTATAATTAAAAACACAAGGGAGGTTATTTCAACCAGTTACCATGTTTCAAGGAAACTGCTCCAAGCATTTTTGAATTACTTCCTGAAAACTGAAAAATCACCATTTATTAATGAATAAAACCCCATCACTTAGAAAAGTAGAATCAAAAGATTAAAATAATAAACTAGAGGCTCTCAAGAGCCTGTGTCGCTCACCTGATTCTACTTTGGTTTTGGAAATCATGTAAAAATAGATTAAAATCATAACAGATACCCTAATAATGAGTGAGGCCAAATTTGGTTTAATATTGGTCCTGTAATTTAATAAAAAATCCTGGTGGCCATCTTGAACAGTAAATCGGCAACAAAGTAGCAACACTTAATCAGCACCTCATAAGAAACATTTATGCCATGTTTTGGTTTCATTCCATTCAGTGCACCTCTAGAAGAAGCATTTGTATGTATTTCCCATAGGGTCTTATGTTAAAGGAAGTCCCCCCATTGGCGGCCATCATGGATGAAGGATCAGCTTCAAAGTAACAAAACTTAGTCAGCACCTCATAAGGAACATTCATGCCATGTTTGGTTTCAATCCATTCAGTATGTGGTTCTCTAAAAGAAGACATTTGTATGTATTGTCCATAGGGCCTCTGTTAAACATTGTCCCCATCTGGCAGCCATCATGGATGAAGGATCAGCTTCAAAGTAACAACACTTGGTCAGCACCTCAAAAGGAACATGCATGCTATGTTTGGTTTCATTCTATTCAATGGTTATCTCAAAAGAAAACATTTGTACGTATTTCTCATAGAGTCCTATGTTAAACTAAGTCCTCCGCTGGCGGCCATCTTAGATTATGGATCAGCTTCATAGTAACAACACTTGGTCAGCACCTCATAAGGAACATTCATGCCATGTTTGGTTTCATTGCATTCAGTGGTTCTCTAAAAGAAGACATTGGTATGTATTTCCCATAGGGTCCTATGTTAAACATTGTCCCCATCTGGCAGCCATCATGGATGAAGGATCAGCTTCAAAGTAACAACACTTGGTCAACACCTCATAAGGAACATTCTTGCCATGTTTGGTTTCATTCCATTCAGTGGTTCTCTAAAAGAAGACATTTGTATGTATTTCCCATAGGGTCCTATGTTAAACTAAGTCCCCCGCTGGCGGCCATCTTGGATGATGGATCCGCTACAAAGTAACAACACTTGGTCAGCACCTCATAAGGAACATTCATGCCATGTTTGGTTTCATTCCATTCAGTGGTTCTCTAGAAGAAGTCCAAATTGTAAAAAGTTAACGCCGACGACGGACGACGGACGCCAAGTGATGAGAAAAGCTCACTTGGCCCTTCGGGCCAGGTGAGCTAAAACTAGAGGCTCTCAAGAGCCTGTGGCGCTCACCTGACTCTACTTTGGTTTTAGAAATCATGTAAAGATAGATAAAAATCATAACAGATACCCAAATAATGATTGAGGCCAAATTTTGATTAATATCGGTCCTGTTATTTAATAAAATATCCTGGTGGCCATCTTGATCAGTAAATCGGCAACAAAGTAGCAACACTTGGTCAGCACTTCATAAGGAACATTCATGCCATGTTTGGTTTCATTCCATTCAGTGGTACTCTAAAAGAAGACATTTGTATGTATTTCCCATAGGGTCCTATGTTAAACTAAGCCCCCCCCTAGCGGCCATCTAGGATGATGGATCGACTGCAAAGTAACAACACTTGGTCAGCAACTCATAAGGAACATTCATGCCATGTTTGGTTCAATTCCATTCAGTGGTTCTCTAAAAGAAGACAATTGTATGTATTTCCCATAGGGTCCTATGTTAAACTAAGTCCCCCGCTGTCTGCCATCTCGGATGATGGATCGGCTGCAAAGTAACAACACTTGGTCAACATCTCATAAGGAACATTCATGCCATGTTTGGTTCCATTCCATTTATTGGTTCTCTAAAAGAAGACATTTTTATGTATTTCCCAACGGGTCCTATGTAAAACTAAGTCCCCCGCTGGGGGCCATCTTGGATGATGGATCGGCTACAAAGTAACAACACTTGGTCAGCATCTCATAAGGAAGATTCATGCCATGTTTGGTTTCATTCCATTCAGTGGTTCACTAAAAGAAGACATTTGTATGTATTTCCCATAGGGTCCTATGTTAAACTAAGTCCCCCGCTGGCGGCCATCTTGGATGATGGATCGGCTACAAAGTAACAACACTTGGTCAGAACCTCATAAGGAACATTCATGCCATGTTTGGTTTCATTCCATTCAGTGGTTCTCTAAAAGAAGACATTTGTATGTATTTCCCATAGGGTCCTATGTTAAACTAAGTCCCCCGCTGGCGGCCATCTTGGATGATGGACCGACTGCAAAGTAACAACACTTGGTCAGCATCTCATACGGAACATTCATGCCATGTTTGGTTCCATTCCATTCAGTGGTTCTCTAAAAGAAGACATTTTTATGTATTTCCCATAGGGTCCTATGTTAAACTAAGTCCCCCGCTGGAGGCCATCTTGGATGATGGATCGGCTACAAAGTAACAACACTTGGTCAGCGACTCATAAGGAACATTCATGCCATGTTTGGTTTCATTCCATTCAGTGGTTCTCTAAAAGAAGACATTTGTATGTATTTCCCATAGGGTCCTATGTTAAACTAAGTTCCCCGATGGCGGCCATCTTGGATGATGGATCGGCTACAAAGTAACAACACATGGTCAGCACCTCATAAGGAACATTCATGCCATGTTTGGTTTTATTCCATTCAGTGGTTCTCTAAAAGAAGTCATTTGTATGCATTTCCCATAGGGTCCTATGTTAAACTAAGTCCCCCGCTGGCGGCCATCTTGGATGATGGATCGGCTACAAAGTAACAACACTTGGTGAGCACCTCATAAGGAACATTCATGCCATGTTTGGTTTTATTCCATTCAGTGGTTCACTAAAAGAAGTCATTTGTATGCATTTCCCATAGGGTCCTATGTTAAACTAAGTCCCCCGCTGGCGGCCATCTTGGATGATGGATCGGCTACAAAGTAACAACACTTGGTCAGCACCTCATAAGGAACATTCATGCCATGTTTGGTTTCATTCCATTCAGTGGTTCTCTAGAAGTAGTTCAAAATGTAAAAAGTAAACGCCGACGACGGACGACACCGGACGACGACAGACGACGGACGCCAAGTGATGAGAAAAGCTCACTTGGCCCTTCGGGCCAGGTGAGCTAAAAAGGAGCTTACATCAACAGATATAAACAATTAACCATGCATTTTTTGAGTTATTGTCCAACATGTTGACAACACACAGACGTACAACAGTATACCATAATAAGTCCAGTAACTAGAGGCTCTCAAGAGCCTGTGTCGCTCACCTTGGTCTATATGCTGCAGTACATATTAAACAAAAGACACTCTACAATAACAAAGACAAAATTAGAATTCATGACAAAATTCTCTGTTTTTGTGTTTTTATGGGGTCAATTGACAATTTTGGTCATGCTTACTTATTTGTATATCTTACTTTACTTGACATTCTTGCTGCATATAGTTATCTCTATCTAAAATGATTTGGCTCAGTAGTTTCAGAGAAGATTTCTTTTAAAAGATTACAAAAATTTACGAAAAATTGTAAAAAGCTGACTTTAAGGGGCAAAAATGAAAAATGCAACCATTATACTTTTGCTTTAGTCTCAGAGATATAAACCAAAAACTGAATTTTACCCCTATGTTCAATTTTTAGTCATGTCGGTCATGTTTATAGCAGGCATGTCATCAGACACATTTTTTAATAGATTGTGACCCAGTTTGGTTAAATTTGTCTCAGTAGTTTCAGAGGAGAAGATATGAGTAAAAGATTACAAAAATTTAACAAAACATTGTGAAAAATTGACTTTAAAGGGCAATACCTCCTGAAGGGATCAATTGACAACTTGATCATGCTAACTTATTTGTTTAGCTTACTTTGCTGAACAATTTTGCTGTTTACAGTTTATCTCTATCTAGTATAATAATCAAGATAATAACCCAAAACTGCTAAATTTCCTTAAAATTAACAATTCAGAGGCAGCAACCAAGCAACAGGTTGTCTGATGCGTCTGAAAATTTTAAAGCAGATAGATCTTCACCTGATGAACATTTTTACCCTGTGTCAGATTTGTTCTAAATGCTTTAGTTTCAGAGAGATATCCCAAAAACTGCATTTTACCTCCTGTTCTATTTTTAGCATAGGCAGCCATCTTGGATGATTGGAAAGGTCATCGGATAAATTTTTCAAACTAATTTCCATAAGGATGATTTAGGCCAAGAATGGTTTAATTTGGCTATGTAGTTTCAGAGGATGAGATTTTTTTTAAAAAGATGACAAAAATTTACCAAAAATTGTGAAAAAATTGATCTTAAAGGGCAATAACTCCTTATTAAGTCAAATGATAATTTTGTTCATGTTTACATTTTTGTCGAGCTTACTATGCTGAACAATTTTGCTGTTTACAGTTTACCTCTATCTAGTACTATATTCAAGATAATAACCAAAAACTGCAAATTTCCTTAAAATTACCAATTCAGAGGCAGCAACCCAAAAAGGGGTTGACTGATGCTTCTGAAAATTTCACAGCAGATAGATCTTCACCTGATGAACATTTTTACTCGTGTCAGATTTGCTCTAAATGCTTTAGCTTCAGAGATATATCCCAAAAACTGCATTTTACCCCCATGTTCTATTTTTAGCCAAGGTGTCCATCTTGGATGATTGGCGGGGTCATCGGATACATTTTTTAAACTAGATATCCTAAGGATGATATAGGCCAAGTTTGGTTTAATTTGGCCCAGTATTTTCAGAGTAGAAGATTTTTGAAAAAGATTACAAAAATTTACAAAAAATTGTGAAAAATTTACCTTAACGGGCAATAACTCTCTGATACATTTTTTAAACTAGACACCCTAAGGATGATATAGGCTAAGTTTGGTTTAATTTGGCCCAGTAGTTTCAGAGGAGAAAATCTTTGTAAAAGTTAATGGACGACGAACGACAGACGATGAATGACGGATGACAAGTGATGAGAAAAGCACAATTGGCCCTTTGGGCAAGGTGAGCTAAAAAGGTGTGTACAAATGCATATTTTTAACCGCTTTTTATGTACAATCTATCCTTTTATAGATCTATTTTAGAAATTATTTATTAATTGTAGCTCTTGAATTATCATATTTTTTATACTCAGATGAAGTATTAGTTGAAGAGTTCTAAATGCATACAAAATTCATAAAAAATGAAATATTATCAAGTCATAGGTATTGGGCCATAAATATTTTTTTCAAACAACAAATTAAAATTAGTGAACAGTTACATATATAATAGTTGCTTTTATCTATATGTATTGTTGGCTGAAAAAGAAGCTTGCTTTCTAGCTTTTTAACATGATCATCTACTTACAACTGAAGGACTGACATTTTCTTCTTTACTGACTAATGCTGGTTTGACAATAGAAGAAATGTTTGTTGAATCATTCACACATGAATTGTTCAGCTGCAAAAAAACCTAAATTTTGATTACAAGTTTCAGAGGTGAGGATTTTTGTAAAGTTAACAACGACAGATGGTGACAGACTACCTTGTGAAATTTACTAAGTCCGAAAATACCACTCATTTTGAGAGTATTAGAAGAAAAATCTGTAGACATATAACTTTCACTATGTTTACAAAGAACCTACAAAATATTTAAGCTGTAGCTCAAATACTGTAGGAAGATAGCCAGATATATCATGTATCTATATTCATATGGACGAAAAAAGACAGAATGATAGATTTTCCATACATTAAATATAGTTGACATATTACTTATAGGTAGTACCTAAAAATAAATTGCTTCGCTGAGCGCAGCTGGATACAACCGCAGAGGTCCAACCCTGAACAGTTGGGGCTAAAATGGACACGATATTAGCACTTGATACAGATCTGAATTTGGATTTTAATTAAACATTTGACACATAATAGGTTTCTGACACAGAATAAATGAAGTCAAATAACTTAGAATTGGTTATATGATTTGAATTTACATTATTTTTTTTGCTTTTGAGCAATACACTATGCTGTTGCAAATTGACCCCCACCCAACACCAACACCCTTTTTTTTTTGGCAAAAAAAAAAATATTTGAAGAAATTTTCTTTTTAATATCTGAAATCTGAAATGAGAAAAAAAATTGTCCCCTCCCACAATTTCTTATTTACCCCCTCCCCCAAATTTTTTTCATATCCCCCACCCACATTTTCCCTTTTCCCAAAAATAATTCTTCCCCTCAAGATATGGTCATAATTTCAATTTAAATTTCTAATGGAGTTTGCAACCATAATTACCCATTTAAATACATTGTACTTAAATATGATTGGATCTTCCTTAGACTGCATTCATACACTTAAACACAAGTTATGGTCTGGAAACTACTAAAATGCTTATTTGGGCCCCTTTTTTGGCCCCTAATTCCTAAACTGTTGGGACCATAACCCCCATAATTAATCCAAAACTTCCTTTTGAAGTAATAAACCTTGTGTATAAATTTCTTGGATTGCTATTTACTTACTAAAGTTATTGTCTGGAAACCAACCGTCTTTGGAAGAAGACAAAAACTATGACAACGACAACATGATACCAATATACGACAACAAAAATTTTTGCGGTCATATAAAAACTAAACCAAACACAACATTTACATCATGAACCAATGAACTATAAACATGAGATCAAGGACAGATGAAACCTGCCAGACTGACATGTACTTCCTACAATCATTACATAAACTACATATAGTTTACCTAACTGCTTAAAGTATTTCAGAAACAGAACTATTCACATTTCTTTAACATTGATCAGTCTGAAATGAGATTGAGGTCAGTGAAACCTTGTCTGAAGGACATGCAGACGTTGTAAGAGACCCATATACCAAATAAAGTTATTTAATCACTCTTAATAAGTGAGACATTCACATTACAAAAAATTATGTGCTATAGTACAAGGGTGCGTCACTCACACTGTCATTTTCTATCTTCAGTGGATTGTCAAATTTGGGTTAATTGGTATTATAATTAGAAAGATCATATCATAGGGAACATGTGAACTTAAGTTTTCAGTCAATTCGACTTCAACTTCTTCAAAAACTACCTTGACCAAAAAATTTACCTTGAAGCGGGACAGATGAACTGATGAACGGACAGTAGAACAAACAGACGTACAGACCGAAAAACATAATGCTAGGTTGGGCAAAAAAAACTATAATTTTTTCAAGCTGTCACTGAACCAAGAAAATGAGGAAAAGGACAACAGACATATGGCAGCAAAACTTTCATAATAAAAGGTTTTTTAATACAAATAGTTTATGCTGCTGCTGAATAGTACTCCCTATGTCTCACATTCTGTTACTTTTGTCGCATGTGAGACAAAGACTAAGTTTTGACCAAAAGAAATTTCCTAATTTCCAGTGAAAAGTTATAAGACATTAACATCTCCATGTTATGCACAGTTAAGTAGTGGTTTTAAAACATTATAAAAACTGTACCCCTTCATTGGTACATATACATCAGCAAACTAATATTCAGTTATAAATAACAAGTAAATAAAGCATACTCTGACAGTTCTTCTTGATTGTAGTGCCTGGTGCAGTCTTGTCAGACCTGAAAAATAAAATATTTAAAGTTCAAAACAGCCATGCACAGCAATGTCAGCATAAAGCAATTCACAGCATTGAGAAACATTACTAACTTAAAAAATCTGAAAAATGTTCTACGGGAATCTACATATTCATACCTGATGCAAAAACTGGCCAACTTTTGTTTCAGTAATAAAACAAACTAGATATCATTGAGATGGGAGCCATCTCTGTGGGCCCCGCTGTGAATAATGTGTGGTAAAAAATTTGTATCTTTATCATTGGACATGGAGTTGTCAACTGAAACCAAAGTTTTTGACCTTGACCTTTGACCTAGGAAGTTGTACATAAATTATTACACACCCTCTGGTGTTGGTTTATATACATGTCAAGTATAAACTTTGAAATCATAACGATTCTCAAGATATAGAGTGGACACGATCTTTACCACTGGACATGGGGTTGTCAACTGAAACCAAAGTTTTTGACCTTGACCTTTGACCTAGGAAGTTGTACATAAATAATGACGCACCCTCTGGTGTTGGTTTATATACATGGCAAGTATAAACTTTGAAATCATAACAGTTCTCAAGATATAGAGCGGACACGATCTTTACCATAGGACATGGGGTTGTCAACTAAAACCAAAGTTTTTGACCTTGACCTTTGACCTAGGAAGTTGTACATACATTATGACACACCCTCTGGTGTTGGTTAATATACATGTCAAGTATAAACTTTGAAATCATAACGGTTCTCTAGATATAGAGTGGACACAATTTGTTAGGGACAGACGGACGGACGGACAGACTGATCACTATAGGGCGGCCGCCATTCGGTGGGGCCCTAATTACATGACAGAACAACTGATGATACCCTCGATGAAATATTTCGGTAAACAGGAAGTTGCTGAGTGGTGAATCTGAAAACACATCGCACGGTAAAGCTAACTTATATAAACCCTGAAACCAAATTTCACAAAACCTTGTATTGTAGTTCCTGAGAAAAATGTGACGAAAATTTTCAACTTGGCTATCATGTGTAAAATGATACAAGTGTTTGGTAAACAGGAAGTTGTTAAGTGATGAATCTGAAAACGCATAACATGGTATAGCTGACTTATATAAACCCTGAAAATAAATTTCAGAAATCCTTGAATTATAGTTTCTGAGAAAAATGTGACGAAAATATTCATGGGACAGACAGACTGACAGACTGATGGACTGAAGGAAGGATGGACAAACAGAGGTAAAACAGTATACCCCCACTTTTTGAAAGAGGGGATATGATAAAAATTAATATGTTATCTCAGGAAAATTTAATGAAAATCATTCAAATAGCTTTATTTCACTGTCAGCTTGCTTTAACAAAAAAAACAAAATATTTAGAATAGGCTATGACTTAAATAGAATTTCATGATAACTAGAAGATGCCTGAGAAATTGCGGTACAATTGGGCAAGTGTTGAGACAAAGAGTCTTTAAATTTTGCAGGCAGCCCATCGACTGAGCATGCACTAAAGCATACAAGCGAAGATCGATAACAGTCTCAGAACTGGGATATATTCTCAAAAATTGGCGTTTTCTGTGGAAAAATAACAGTTTCAGACAAATTTGGGAATAACAAAACATTACATTTATGTGTCATATCACAAAAATTTCTGACTTTGTATGGTTTCAGAGGAGTTTCGGCTCAATGCAATCGGTCACTTCCTTTAGTACATAGATTCTTGGTAAAACATGACAAGATTTAAAAAATGTACACTTGTTTGAAGTTATTTAAAATTCCATTTAGTTGTAAACCATCTGTGAAGATGCAACCTATATGTGACTTAAGCCAAGATATCCAGGTTGTGGGAGTACCTAAGCTTAAATCAGTTAATTGAATATATATCAATTATAGTTTAAAAAGAAGCATCCTCTAATAACAGCCATTTTATATTTTGGCCCAGCAATTTCCAGCAGCATGTATTTTCACATTATTTTATTTGCAATATTTTCTTTCTTATAAAATGAATATATAATAGAAAGAATGAGACTTTTTTTAGTTATTTTTGTGTATTTGGATTACTGTCCCCTTGATGTTTACAACCTATCTCCTATTCAAATTAAATTTAAATAAGTCTATCCTACCATTCTGCAAAATTACTTCACTCAAGTTGTTATAAATGCATCTTAGGTTAAGTGTTTCATAATAAATTTGGAATGCATAAAAGTATGAGATTTGTGACTAGAATTTTAACATTACGCCTTTTTTTGCTATGACAATTCATGATGGCATACATATTAAAGCTCAATAAGTTTGGTCCATCAAAAAAATAAAACACATAAGTACAGATAAAAAAATTGTAAGATTTCCCCAGAACCCAGTGTCTATACTTCTTTATGAATCTAATAAATATTTTAAGAACTTTAACTGCAGACTGTTTGTAATGTTAACTAGAAGAAAAACTAAGTCCATATTTAAGTATTTATACAGAAAAACAGGAATTATATTTTTACAAAATTTCCTTTTAGATACTAGCTTTTGGTAATAAACAAGCTTCAGTCCAAGTTTGGTAGAAATCCAGAATAGTTTAAGAAAGTAATCAAAATTTTAAAAACTTTCACCACAGAGTGAATGTAAGGTTAACAAGCAGAATAAAATGCTCCGCTAGGTGCAACTTGATACGACCACAGAGGTCGAACCCTGAACAGTTGGGGCAAGTATGGACACAACATTCAAGCTTGATACAGCACTGAATTTGGATTGTGATCAAATATTTGACACAGCATAGATTTCTGACACACAATGAATGTGGTCTAAGAACTTAAAAAATTTTAATTTACCTATTCAAACCATATCATTATTATTTACTTTTATATATAAATCAGATATAACCAATTTAAAACGGAAAATTATATTGTTCTTAGGCCCCTTTTTGGCCCTAAATTCCTAAACGTTTAGGGCAATTACCCCCAAACTCAAACCCAGCTTTCCCTTTGTGATATGGAACCTTGCAGTACAATTTCATAAAGATCCATACACTTACACACAAGTTATTGTCTTGAAACTAGAATAATGCTTGTTTTTTTCCCCTTTTTTGGCCCCTAATTCCTAAAATTTTGAGGCATTTACCCCCAAAATCAATCCCAGCCTTCCCTTTGTGGTATGGTACCTTGCAGTACAATTTCAGAGAGATCCATACACTTGAACACAAGTTATTGTCTGGAAACTAGAAAAATGCTTATTTTTGGCCCCTTATTCCTAAACGTTTTGGGCAATTATCCCCAAACTCATTTCAACCTTTCCCTTTGTGATATGGAACCTTGTATTTTAATTTCAAAAAGATCCATACACTTACACACAAGTTATTGTCATGAAACTAGAAAAATGCTTGTTTTTTGCCCCTTTTTTGGCCCCTAATTCCTAAAATGTTGAGGCAATTACCCCCAAAATCAATCCCAGCATTCCCTTTGTGATATGGAACCTTGTGGTACAATGTCAAAGAGATCCATACACTAACACACAAGTTATGTCTGGAAGTTACAAAATTGCTTATTTTTGGCCCCTTTTTGGCCCGTAATTCCTCAACTGTTGGTACCATAACCCCCAAAATCAATCCTAACCTTCCTTTTGTGGTATTGAATCTTATGGTAAAATTTCATAGAGATCCATTCACTTAAACTAAAGTTAAAGTGCGAAAACCAATGTGTCTTCAGACGACGATGCCGGACGACAATGACTACGACGACGATGCCAACGTCATACCAATATACGATCACAAAATTTTTTTGCGGTTGTATAAAAACTAAGTCCATTTATAAGGAAAAAACAAAAAAACAAAAACAAAAAAAATTTATTTTTAAATCTTCTGATCATAAAAAAGCTTTTGTCCAAGTTTGGTAGAAATCCAGGATAGTTTAATAAAGTTATTAAAACAGACATGTGACAGAGTTGTCAAGCCACAACTGGAGATTTGGAAATTTTCAGCTGGAGTTTGGGCCTCATAACTGGAAATTTTTTATCGACCTTTTTATCGACATACACAAGATTTTTTTTAGGTGTTTAAACTGCATATCTTCCTTTTTTGTTAAAAGAATAATTATTCAATACCTTTAAACACCTGCATAGCCACTTTTACTTGATAAAATAGAAGACAAGGGGGGTTCAAATATTTATTCATCATATATAGTTCCAAGATAAAGTGATCAGCCATCATACATAGTTGGCAGAAAGTACCTCTGATTTAGCTACATTGTCAACTTTGGTACCACTACTGAACATGTTTGTAATAGAAGGTGTTGAATTGATAGAGTTGTGGGCTTTCTGGTGGGTAGCAGTCTCCATATTTTTGGTCAAGTAATTAGGGCCACCATAGTCAGCTTTGCAAGAAGTGTAGTAAGCATGGTCTCGACCCTTGGCACTGGACTTGCACCATTTGAAATCTGTTCTCCAGGCAGAGTTAAATTTGGCTAGATACTTGGTCTTCTTTAACATGCTACTGGGGTATTTGGTGATAACATACAGTTTGCATTTGTCAAATTATAAGACAAACTATAGGTATTCCATTGGCTTGGATAGAAAACAAGCCATATATATCATATTTGAGTTGATTTCATTTGACTTTGAGGTTCAGTATAAACTGTTCCATTTTTTCAGCATCAAAAATTTATTAAAGTCGTTGTTATACAACTTTTCCACTGTCAGTATTTCACTTTTAATCATCCAGATGTGTGTATTAAACTAGCTAGTTGATTACTAGGTAAATGCCAATCATCTTTTGTTGTTGTATATACAGTCTAATCCTTAACACCTTCATTGATTACTCGAGGCTAATTTCCTATTTACCTTTGTCACAAATTCAATAACAGGAAATGGTGACTTCTGTTTTTCTCTGACTTTTCCCATATCAATTTCAAGTTTCTCAGACTTTTTCCCTGTCCGTATCTATTTTGTAAACAGAAATTTGTACTGAAAATTTTTCGAGATTGACATTTTCAAAAAGCGGAAGATTTCAAATTTTAATGGGAGGGATGGAAGAGGGTCTGAAAAGGAGGAGATTTTAACTCCTGCCGGGAGAATCACATGTATGTTAAAATTTAAAAAACTTTAACCACAGATCTAGAGTGAATGTAATGTTAACTGCCAGAAAAACTAAGTCCATATATAAGTAAAATAATATACAGAAAAACAGGAAAAATATTTTTACAAAATTTCTTTCTGGATACTATCTTATGATCATAAACAAGCTTCTGTCCAAGTTTAGTAGAAATCCAGTATAGTGTAAGAAAGTTATTAACATTTTAAAAGCTTTAACCAGAGTGAATGTAATGTTAACTGGCAGAAAAACTAAGTCCATTTAAAAGTAAAATACAGATAAATTGGATTCTTTTTTACAAAATTTCTTCTGGATACTATCTTATGATCATAAACAAGCTTCTGTCCAAGTTTGGTAGGAATCCAGTATAGTTTAAGAAAGTTATTAAGATTTCAAAAACTTTAACCAGTTTAAGGGTGAATATTTGTGGACGCCGCCTCTGCAGACGGAATGTAGGATCGCTAAGTCTTGCTTTTTCGACAAAAGTTGAAGGCTGGACAAAAACATACACAATTATAATTTATACACAAATATTTACAAAGGTCAGTCACTAAAATTTATAGAATCACTCGTGGCAGGAAACAAGTCCTACAAGATCACTGCTGATGGTTGTCTGCTTAGAATTCTCTTATTGTAAATTTGTCATAATTGTCCAAATCCTTTTAATGTATTGTAATTAATGAATTTTAATTTAAACAATTCATTTTATCTTGGGTTGGGTCAAATGAATTCATTCAGTTTTTATATCAGGTGAAATATGTTCTGAACACTAAAAAAAACAGCATGCGGTGCAGATGAACTGATTTTGATTTTGTCAAGTGTATGTGAATGAATGTTGTGTCATCAATTTATACAACAAAAGTTGGTCCTCTTTTCTTCATCTGTAACTTTTCTATGAAAAGTGTTTACTAAACTATAATTTCAGATAATGTGTATATAAAGCTTTACCTAGATTTCTCATTATCACAGCACCAATATGTAGGCGGTACATTAGTAGTTCTTCTGGTGTCATTTGAAATCCTACATCACCATTTGAAAGGACTGTGTCTGCCATCTAATCAAGTAATAAAAAACACCACTTTGTATTCAAATTTATTGCGAACCCAATGAAAGTTTTCCACAGTGCCATCTCTATCTTGACCAGGTATTTATTATTATTGAATGAATACAATAGCTATTTTTCTCTGTGTAGTTTATTCACTGGGACCTTTAAATTTCTTCTAAGAGAAATCTATCATTCATTGATTAAATTACCTGTGTAAAAAAAAATTCTTATATATAGACAAAAATACTTTTTTTATACTCATTAATTGCGTGTGCTGATGTATTTATTCAATATTAATAATATATATTTTCATTCAGTTTAATATAAACATTGATTCAGAGAATAAACTACACAGAGAACAATAGCTATTGTATCTATTCAATAGGACAGGTGAACTTGCAAAAGTTTAAATACCTGGTCAAGATAGAGATGGCACTGTGGAAAACTTTCATTGGGTTCGCAATAATAAATTATTGACACTCTAGTGTTAGTTTTTTCTTTTTCTTTATTGCTTTAATTATGCATACTTATGTACAAATGTAAAATGAAATAAAATTAAACTAGATGTGTCAAAACCACACGAATGGCCCCATCTCAAAAAGTTGAAAAACTGCAATTTCAACAACACATGTGGACACAAACATGATGGTAGTCTCACATATCAAAAATCAACTGTGATTTTCAACAACTTATCAAAGTCCAAAGCCCGTAATTTTGGCAAAAATCAGGGGAGAGAAACCTAATTTAAACTTTAAATCTATAACTCATCATGGTTAACTCACATACCAAAAATCAGCCCAATATCTGAAGGCGTGTAGCAAAAAAGTCTGTATAACTGTGATTTTCAACAATTTATCAAAGTCCAAAGCCCGTAATTTTGGCAAAAATTAGCGGAGCGGAACGAAACTTAAACTTGATCTGTAACCAAACATGGCTTACTCACATATTAAAAATCAGCCCAATATCTGAAGGCATTTAGAAAAAAAGTCTGTATAATGGTTTGTTGTGGAATGACGGAATGACGGAATGACGGAATGACAGAATGACGGAATGACTGAATGACGGACAAGGGTAAAACTATATGGCCATAAAAATCTTGCTTCAAAAATTAGAGAACATTTGTGAGTACGCTCACATACCCCACACCCTCATATTGTCACTGGACAAACAAAATCTCAAAAGATTTCTAAGTTCAAAGACACATTACTCTACAAAGGTCAACTGATAAAAAATTTCCTGTGAATATGCACATTTACACTGTATGTCCTCATTATATACAAAGTTTCATGAAATTCTGTTGAGTGGTTTTTGAGAAGTTGCGATGACAAACTGTTGCAGTAGTATGATTAGGCCTAAATTCTAAGTTCAAAGGGGCATAACTCCTAGAAAAAAAAATCAATAGTAATTTCCTGTTGAAAAGCACATCTACATTAAATGTCCTTATTATCTACACTGTTTCCTGAAATTCTGTTGTGCGGTATCAGAGGACTGATGGACTGACAGAGGGACAGATGGACAGGTCTAAAACATTATACTCTCTGCAACTTTGTTGCATGGGTATAAAAAAGTAACTCATAAAAGACTTTCAAGTGAATTCAAACTTGTTGAACAACCAACCACTTAGCTAGCTACACTACAAAAAGTCATTCCTTAGAAACTAAATGTACTGAATTGTAGTTGTAGGAGGGAGCTGAGCCAACAATTTGGGGGGACCTTTAAGTTTGTGGGTTTTATTCACCCTCTATGGTCAGTAGGGGGTCATTAGTTAATCCTGTAACAAATTTATCGCATGACAGCTTTAAACCAATCAAAAATGGACAATTTATTCGCATGTGATATTCCTACATGGTTACAGGAAGTTGTTGAGTGATGGATCTAAAAAGGCATCACAAGGTATAGCTGACTTATATAAACCCTGAAACCAAATTTCAGAAATCCTTGTATAGTAGTTCCTGAGAAAAATGTGACGAAAATTTTCAAGTTGGCTAGCATGTGTAAAATGATACAGGTATTCGGTAAACAGGAAGTTGTTGAGTGATGAATCTGAAAACACATCACACGGTATAACTGACTTATATAAACCCTGAAACCAAATTTTTGAAATCTTTATGATGTAGCTCCTGAGAAAGGGAACCGATGGACTGACGTACTGATGGATGGACTAATGGACAGACAGACAGAGGTAAAACAGTATACCCCCACTTTTTTAAAGTGGGGGTATAAAAATGAACAAAAAAACAAATATGTAACACATAAACAAACAAGAACCACTTAATTACAGGCTCTTGACTTGGAACAGGCACATACATACAGAATGTGGCAGGCCCAGGTAAAACAGGTTAGCAGAATCCAACCCTCCCCTAACCTGACACTGTGTTGTAACAGTACACCATAAGAACAAACTTAAACAAGTAAAACTGTGAGCTGCGGCTCACTGATGATACCCCCGCCGAAATATTTTGGTAAACAGGAAGTTGAGTGATGAATCTGAAAAAATCACACGGTACAGCTGACTTATATAAAACCTGAAACCAAATTTCAGAAATCCTTGTCAAGTCATTCTTGAGAAAAATGCGACGAAAATTTGCAACTTGGCTATCATGTGTAAAATAATACAAGTGTTCGGTAAACAGGAAGTTGTTGAGTGATGAAACTGAAAACGCATCACACAGTATAACTTACTTATATAAACCTTGAAACCAAATTTCAGAAATCCTTGTCAAGTAGTTCCTGAGAAAAATGCAACGAAAATATTCATGAGACGAACGGACTGACAGATGGGCTGACGGAAGGATGGACAGACAGAGGTAAAACAGTATACCCCCACTTTTATAAGCGGGGGTATAAAAATCATTTGAAAAAGGCTAAACTCATCAGATGGATACAAATCCTACACAGAGTGGATTTGGCCTGGTACATGTATATCCCAACAACAAAAGAACACCAAGTACAGATTTGAGAGTACTCACAGTTACTGACAGCTAGTTCAAGGCCAATAATAACTAATAAAAAAATCATGTATGTATGACTAAATTAAGTTTTTTAAATAATATATCAAACCTTCAATACATAAACACCACATGATGTGCCATCCATTTGCTTTGAGTGCTCTAGGACTTGTACTCTCCATGATCCTTCCCCATCAAGCATAAAATCTGACCTTTTCTTCATAAAGTAACTGAAATTTGAAAGTTATAACTGAATATCTTGTAAATATGGCAATCACTATAAAATAACTTACTTCTCATATTGTACAGATTTCTTTCAGAGGCATGAATATTTATACAGGGTAATGCTCCAAACATTAGATCTCTTCCAATACAGTTTTGAAAAAGATCAACTTGAGTCGTCACTACAAAAAGTTAAGGATCATCATCATAAACAGGTAAATTAATAAGATTCTAAGTCTGTATAGAAAAAAATAAAAGAACAAAAATACCTACTTGATAATTCAAAATGAAGTCCCTAATCAAATGGCAAAAGCTCAAACACATGAAACAAATGGATAACAATTGTCCTATTCCTGACTTGGTACAGGCATTTTCTTATGTAGAAAATGGTGGATTAAACCTGGTTTTATAGCTGTTTTTAAAGTTGTTGACCTTCAACAATGAGAAAAAAACATACTGAATAATCAACTATCAAAGGCCAATACATGAAAAAAAATAAAAGTGAAATAATTCAAAAGAGAAAAATATTGGTACTACAGGCTCCTCACTTGGGACAGGCACATAAAGAATATGGCGGGGTAAACATGTTTGTGCGCACTCATCCCTCTCCTAACCAGCTGGGACAGAGGAGTAACACCAGCTTTTTATCATAAACTAGCTTCTGTCAATGTTTGGTAGAAATCCAGAATATTTTAAGAAAGTTATTACAATTTTAAAAACCTTAACAACAGAAGCATGTAATGCTAACTGGCAGAAAAACTGAGTCCATTTATAAGTAAAATACGGATAAACAGTTTTTTTTTTTTAACAAAATTTACTTCTTGATACTATCCTATGATCATAAACAAACTTCCGTCCAAGTTTGGTAGAAATCCAGGACAGTTTAAGAAAGTTTTTACAATTATAACCTCAACGACGACAGAATGTACGTAGGATCGCTATATCTCACTTTTGCGACAAAAGTCACAGGTTCACAAAAATCAATGTTAGTACTGGTAATAACAATATTTAAAGATTTACCATGGTGTTAAATTGGTAACCTTTAAGAATAAGTTTAAATGAATCAATTCTTAATTTACATAATTTATCAGTAAGAATAGATACCCAAAAAATTACATTCAAGATAAGCACAAGTTAATAAACAAGAGGCTCTCAAGAGCCTGAATCGCTCACCTGTATTTCAGAGAAGATTTTTAAATGTTAGCAAACTTGATGAACAAATTGTGTAAAATTGTCTTTATAGGGCAATAACTCCTTAAGGGGTCAATTGACAATTATGGTCATATTAACTTTTTTGTAGATCTTACTTTGCTGAACATTATTGCTGCAAAATTTTGTTAAAACTACCAATTTGGTGGCAGCAACCCAACAATGGGTTGTTCAATTCGTCTGAAAATTTCAGAGCCGATAGATCTAGACCAATTGACCAATTTTACCCCATGTCAGATTTGCTCTAAAAGCTTTAGAGTTTTTAGTTTTTGAGATATAAGCCAAAAACTGCATTTGACCCCTATGTTCTATTTTTAGCCATAGCGGCCATGTTTGTCTGTGGATCAAAACTTCGGATACAATTTATAAACTAGATACCCTAAGGAAAATTTAGTTAAAGTTTGAAGGTATTTGGCCCAGTAGTTTCAGAGGAGAAGATTTTTGAAATAGTTTCAGACGACAAACGACGACAGACAATGGGCGAAGACGGACGCCAAGTGATGGCATAAGCTCACATGGGGACTTCGGGCCCCGGTGAGCTAAAAATTGTTCAAATTAAGACTAAAAGTCTTTTATACTTACTACCAGTTCTCCATCAATTCATGCATAGACAGGAACATTTCACCCATTGGATTATAGTAACATATCATTTTTTCTTGTGGAAAAATAACCTGTAAAGTACATAAAACACAAAATATATATGAACAAAGAGAAAATTTAAATACATTTGCATCTTTGTAAAATATATCTCCTAGCAAAATATGGGTTTTTTTTGGATTAAGCCTAATGGCTCACATCATCTAAATATTTGTGACATAATTTAAAAAGATGGCAATGAAAAGCTTTGATTCTTTGGCATGTTGTGTTAGCTTCTTGAATAATTAAATTTGAATATCTCTTTGGCATCTTTGGCCTCTCTTTTAAACAAGATATATAGCATATTATGCATTTGTCTGTACATGATCAGCCATATGAAAAGACTAAAACTCTAAATATATCTGTTTATGTATGCAGAATCTACAGAGTGAGACTAAAGTATAACTGGTAAAATTGAGAATGGAAATGGGGAATGTGTCAAAGAGACAACAACCCGACCACAGAACAGACAACAGCAGAAGGCCACCAACAGGTCTTCAATGCAGCGAGAAATTCCCGCACCCGGAGGCGTCCTTCAGCTGGCCCCTAAACAAATATATATACTAGTTGGACATACATATGACTGCAGATTGTGAAATGTACAACTTATGTTTCAGATCTATGTTCAAATCAAATATCTTGACATACCAATAATGTCCAGTGATTTTGTCCTTCATTAACTGCTCCAATAATGCAATCATAGTCCTCGAAGTTGACCTACAAATAGTAATAGTAACAACATTTTAACAGCAAGACCAATTAGCAATCAAAATAGTGTTTAATCTTCTCATGACTAAACTATAATTTTGACTTGAGTTCTGAAATGCACACTGTAAACTCAGAAATTATTCTGTTCATTATAAATCTTGCGATTTTTTAAAAATGGACGAAAATGCATGATTAATTTATATGATTTAAGGAAAATTTGGTCTCATTGAGATACAAGGATATAAAAAAAATTGTAAAATGTTCCTTTTATGAATTACAGGGAAGTTCCAGAACAACCAATTTTTCCAATTTCCAAAGCCTATGAAAACAATGACTGAAGACAAGATCTTGCACAGTTAAATGGTTGAAAGTTAGAGAAAACTGGTACTGTTTATGTCAAAATATTTTTGGCAAAGTCATCTCATTATCCTATCATTTCAATTATAAGTTTACAGTTTACAATAAGACAGAACTTTTACATGCAAAATAGCTGTCGCCACAAATTGATAACTTCCTGTCAATCTGGAAACCTAAAAAAAAACAGTATCTAAAGCAGTCCTTTTTCATAGCGCCCTAGTTGGTGTTTATGCAGGTTTTACAGGACATTTTGTGAAATTTGATTAATTTTTAAAATATCTGCATTTTTACAATCTTTGTGCAATACACTTATAAATATAATTATATTTACCTCCTGTAAACAGCCATGTATATCTGCTTGCCTAGATGCAATTGCTGTCATTATAGTACTGTTAATATATATTGTTTTCTCTGATTCTGAAGTCAATTGATGCAAAAAGGCATCAATTACCTGGAAAGAAAAGTTTCTCAAAGTCTCATTTTGGTATCCAACATCATAACCTCACTTTTATTACAGGGCCGTAACTAAATTGAGGCAAATGCCTCATGTAGGAAATTTAAAAAACAAAAGCTGGTCTTCATATGCAAGTTCTGTTCACTGTCTGACGTAGCCCCCGTTTTTCAGGATCCATGTTTCTCATTTATTTTTAGTTTTCAGTGTCATTTGTCAATTATTTGTTGTTTTGTGTTTTCTCTGTTCCCAGGTTTGTCTTTTGTTCAATGATTGCCATTATCTGTTCTGTAAGTATTGCATTCCATTTGTAACATGTGTAACTTAGTAATTTTGTTTTAAACTTGAGTTTTATTTTATTTTCATGGACTTGGTATCTCTTTTTACAAACTACTTTAAATTGTACCCCAGTTAGAAACTACATCTTTTTGTAATTCAAATGTGTTATAAAAACTTACTTGACATAGTTATATTAATGATAATCAGCCCCCTCTTAACCTACTGTGGATTCATTTATTTTTGTTGATATCAATTTTCAAGGACTGTGGAAAACTTGCATTTTCGTGGGCATTTGATTTCGTGGTTTGGTCAATCTCTGCATACAAAGCCTATAGAAAATGTGTAATTTGTTAAAAATTTGAATTTGTGGTTCACCTTTACCAACGAAAATTGGTATCCAACGAATAATAATGAATCCACAGTAATTTGAAAAAAAAAAATCACATAATTGACAGGTATAAAAGATTTTCTGCAAGCCGAAACACCAAATAAAACCAGACACTTGGGTAAATCTAAGGGCTAGCTATATGTTGTATATCTGTATGTTGAATCCATACTTTCCGGAACTGTTGTATTGCATTATCCGTGATTGGTGTGATTATTACATGTATCAGCCTCTTTTTGTGTTTGAATCCAAAGTAAAATGATCATAATTTGAAAGCTCTTCGTTTTATTTATATTATACTTGTCTTTAGTCCCCCAAACCTAAGTCAGGTATATTACATAGTGGAGAACCTAAAATCGAAACAATTGGTACCTGATATTATTACAAAATGAACATATGAAACATTAAAATGAAGCCTTGAAATAGTTGTCAATAGTACAAAACACGTGGTTTGACTCACAATGTTACGTGAGGGCAGAAAATGGCTGTATATTTGAATAAAACTGTTTATTTGTGTATGTGAGATTTATCTCATTACATTTGAACTTTCTATGACAAGAAGATCGAGTGTTTAACTCATGAACCGATATGATAGTGACGACAATCTAGCTCTTTTTCATGACACTTATATGCCACGAAATTACGAATCTGAGGATGCCGAATTTAACGAATTACTTTCTTTAGTTCCTACAATAAACACTCCCAAAATGTCTGTGCCATTGGCAAATCAACCAGGTATTTTCATTCGAGATTCAGATGCAATAATGGAAAAATTGGCTGCTTGTCGCAAATTTGGGGGCTATCCCCACGAAAATGCGCCGGTGTTTATGAAAGAATTTACTTCATTTGCAACTCTTCACAAAATTGACCATGCCCATGATCAAAGAATGATTGCCGCTTTTCACCTTAACTTAACAGGCCCTGCATTAACATGGTTTAATTCACTAGTTGCGGGAAGCAAACGCACATGGAGACAATTTCTTGCAATTTTTGATGAAAAGTATATAGAGTTAGATTGGCAAAGTCCGACCGTGTTCCTTGAGAGCGAAAATTTTCAAAATATGAAATTAAGTAGGGGTCAAATTTTGGAAGATTTTTATGGACAGATAGTTGAGAAAGCTCAGATTTTGAAAAAGAAGGACCATGAAATTCTCTCTCAGTTTATCAAGGGTTTACCGGAACAGCTTGCGTTTTTTGTTAGGGCTGGTACACATAAAGACAGTGCCAGTGCATTGTCCGCAGCTAAAATGGGCGAAGCCTATGGGTATAGGAAGGACGATGTAGTCTGTGTTGCAGCTGCTAAGCCAATGGTTGTTAGTGATAATAATCCGGTTCAAGAATTACAAAACCAAGTTAAAGAGCTCACAAAAGCATTATCAGAATTAAAATCATAAACTAACGATATCAAACCAGGAATGCCTCCAAAATATCAAAACCCTCGTTACAACAATAACTTTTCAAGTCAGGCAGGAAATAACCGATCAATAAACTATGCTAATTATTGCACTGATACTGAAGACTGCGAATTTACTGATGAAAATTTAACTAGTTTCAAATCTCAATTTATTCATATGCCCGTCAAGGTTAATGTTTGAATCCAAAGTAAAAGGATCATAATTTGAAAGCTCTTTGTTTTATTTATATTATACTTGTCTTTAGTCCCCCAAACCTAAGTCAGGTATATTACATATAACACAATGTGTATGTTTGTCGACCTCTTGAACTCAAAATACAGCCATAAATCTAACAAGTTCATGCTTGTGTCAATTTCTTTAATCCAGTCATGTTTTTGTACCAATGTGTTCAACGATTCTTGCACTTTGGATATCATTTACAGTCCAAGTTTCCTGACACAAAGTCATTATATAAATAAAAAAAAATCAAGAGTTTTCTTATCAGAGAAATTTGTGACATAGCGCGACTTGCCTTCCAGGACACAGCACATTATTCGTTACTCAAATATTTCATGCCCATCTCGTAATTAATCAATCTTTATTCTCGGTGGACGATTTTGTCATCATAGAGCAGCAGAATATGTATAAAAAAAAAAAAAAAAAAAAAAAAAATCAGGGTGGGACGATTTCTGAGACAATAAAAAGGGACTATATTTTTATGTACCTCATCTGGCAAAAAGCCCCGCAAAAAAAATAAACTTTCTAACGTTACGCTGATGTTACCAATGGTGCCTAATGTGTCATTTGTACCAACTCGTGTCCATTGCCACACTTCTGATATACCTAAAAGTAATAAAATAAATGTTAACTAGAGATAATATCTGCAGCTGATTCTTATAACAATAGGTTCACTCTATGGCAGACATGTTAGTTTGAAAGCAAACATGCACTTTTTCGATTTTATGTTCTCAAGAAAATGTTTTCTGGAGCAGCAGTATCATACCAACAACATATTTTAATCCTACCTACCAAACTATACGTATATTTGTTGTTAGTCGGTTTCTCATTAGTTGTTATCCTGTTGGCAGTATTCTGCTCTAATAACATAAATAAGGAATTCATTTGTGCATTTCAGTTTAATGAAATATGGTCTAGGTAGGCAAAATCAAGAAAAACTGTTTATCCCCCTCCCCCTAACACCACCCCCCCCCACCATCACCATTGTGTACCATCCCTATATTAAGTCAGGCTATCTGGATCATGGGCTATTAGTTGTTTTTAGAAATTTTTCTTATGATTTAGATGGTGGTGGATGTGGTCTGTTGTAATACAGGTATCAAATATTTTAGATGATCCTCTTTTATTATTTTTATGTTCTCAAATTTGCTGTATAAATAATAACTTACAAGTTTTTGCCATTATATCTTGCTCTAAAATATCAATAATAGGTGTTGCAGTATATAGAGGTGTAATTAATTTCTCTGAACCTGCAGCTGGTGACAAGTGGGCATTTTTAGATTCTAAGGTTATAATTTCACTTGCTGGCACACTGTCTTTAATCCTCTCAGTGTTTTTGGATTCTTTTCTTGAAATAGCAGCTTTCTACAATTACAAAAATCCAAAATTCTAAGAGAAAAGCAATATTTGATTGGTTGATAAATTGATTGTTGGTGTTTAACATCACTTACAGCAACATGACTATATGCTATCCTAGTTAATTAGTAAACTCACCTGTCATGTGTGAAATTCAAAATCACGATCTCAGTGTTGACAGACTTAAGAAGCAATATTTGAAATTATAAACAATCATTACCAATTTTTTTTTTAAAAGTTCTTTTGTAAAGTGCAAGTGTTAAACTTCAATGTTCACTCCTTGGTATCAATTTTCTGAGATAAAGAACAAATCATATTGTTTTGGATTCAAACCGAGGGAAGTTCATTGTTTGTTTAACCTTTATATTTGTATGTGTCACAAAAGACAACAACACTCAGATATTTTTACCGCATAGTAATAGTTTTAATGGTCAACATGTTTCACCTATAGATAGGTGTCATCAGGACAATGTTACATATCAGATTTACAGTGAGGTGCATTTCTTGAGGTTAAGTGGTTAAGCAGTTAACTGGAAGTGTAAGTATAATTACGGTAGTTATGGTGACGTTTTATAAATAGAAAATGAAAGTGAAAGTGAAATGACATCGAGAATATAAATAGAATGAAAAGTAAATGTTGTTTAAATAAATTAATAAATTTAATAAGTAAAATTAAATATCCTTTAATTCAAGACAACTGTGAATACCTAGCGGTATCCACTCGTTTTTACCCTACCACGCAATCACCACTTCGGGTGTTGGTTCACTTGATAGAATTACACTTTATATTTGTAGTTTACCTGTACATATAAAATCCTTAAAAAATTGGTACATCACGAATAATTTTGAATTGACAGCATAAATCGTATTAATCATCGCAGTGTCTACTTACTTTTGAGAAATAGTAATTTTTCAATTACTCATGTCTACTTCCGCAAACAAAATAAATCCACTACAACAAACCTAATCTATTGCTTCTATATATGATTGATTACAATATAATAGAAATCCATATCAGTTTTAATCATATTGTTTTCACTATTGTCACACACAGTATTGTGGTTTTCTAACTATCTTTTTACTCATTTACTTGAGTCAATGGTTTTCAATGTCCTTTATCTAACTTTTATATTCAATCGACAACTTGGTCTCGCATTATCATCTTTATTTTCTAAATAGTGAAAAATGTTCAACTTTAATTTGGTTAAAAATTATTCCTGTGTAAATGTGTAGGACTGGGAGGAGGGGAGGATGCTGATGTGTGAAATTAGAATGACCATTTGCTGATGTGCAATGGTCTATATAACGTGTAATGGTTGTTTAAAATCAACAGATGTTCAATTATTATGAGATGAAGCTTTTTTAAGTGGTTAGTATATAAATTGCATTTGTTATTTTCTATGTATGCATGTCCTAAGCTATAGTTGCATATCAAATGTGTGATTGTCCTCTTTGATTTTCTGCATGTGACATAATTCTGGGTTAACATTCACTTTTTCTTTGTTCTTCTCTTCAGTTTCTTTTTCACTGTAATATTATAATAGGAGAGTCTGTCTGTGAACCTGTATGTATTAAAAAAACCAAGCTCCATTGTACATAAAATAGAACTTGTAAGATTTTCAGCAAAAAATATGCCACAGAAGGTTGACTTTCCCTTTTACACCAATCACATTTCCTTTAGTATAGTATATGGGTTTTATAATCTCCTTATTAACCGAAAAAAAGTCAAAAAAATGCTTCTAATAAACAATTTGACCTCAGCGTTACCCCAATTGCACTTAGGCTATCAACAAGACAGCTTTACAATGCTACCATTGTACTTCAGAGTAATCAAAATCTCACTTCAGCATCAAACCATTGCACAGCAGTGTGACCATCGTGATTCAGAGATCTTCTAATGTTAGTAACAGTATACTTACATTGCTTGAATTATAAGGAATATCCATATCTGTGGTAAGCTGTCTAGAGAATTGATTATCAACTATTGGAGGAGTCCACTGTGTTTTCCTGAAGCACAAATTATTTGTGAATTTATATGTGAGGCCAAATAAAATAATATGTGTTTCGGACTTTCCTATTACATCTTTGAAAAAAATAGGGTAGGTAGGTAGGGAATTTTTTTTATTTTACAATTTTTTTTTACATTAAGTCTATGGGAGAGAAATTCTGACTTAACAGTGCTTATTGAAAAATGACCAAAAAAACTTTAAGGTAGGCTATTTTTAAGCTTAAAATATAGGGTAGGTAGGGAAATAGGAAACACACATATTTTTTAATTTGGCCTGACTGTGATACATGTCATATGTGTTTCTAAGATTAGATTTGTAAGACTCAGATGTCGCGACTTCCAGTCTCTATTCGACGTCCCTTCCTCAAATCGACGTCCAAATCTGATGTCACAATAAAATAACATTCCAAATCGACTGCCAATTTTATGTCCCTCTAATCCACGTCCCTTTTATGGACTTGTCGCAGAGAAATCACGTCTTTATTAACTGGTGAGTTAAATCTAAAACTCAAAAAGTTGTTGAAAAATATAACACCAAATCATAATACTTTTCAACAATTGGGCGTACATTTTTATTCTTTGTATTGTTTGAGTCTGTATACTGTCCTCTAGATGTCTTGCGATTATCTTTGTCTTTGGTTTGTTGTCTCATTGCCGTACAATGTATATCCATATTTATTTGTGTTTTTTTTTTTAAACAAGAATGGAAAACAACAACATAGATCAATAAAATGAATGTCTTGCACCAAAATATTAATATTTATGTACATGTAGTAGTAATATGATGTCAGTGATTGTCTTTTTTTCTTTATCTGATGTTTGTCCTTTTATTTTGATACCAGTTATAGTTATAGTTTCTGTAAGCTACTTGTCAAAAAGACAAAACCATTATAATATAGAAAATATCAATAAAGATCAATTTAAAAATAAATTAATCAATGACATCGCAATGAGAGGAGACTTTGATAATTCAGACGTTGTGTCTGTGATTCATAACGTCACATTGGACGTCAATTAGAGGATTAAAATATTATACACTGATTTGAGAATGCAGCGTCAGATTTGGACGTCGATTTGAAGAACAGGCGTCAATTTGAGGAATGGCCGTCGATTAGAGACTGGACGTCAATCTGAGTCTAACAGATTTGCCAAAGAAATGAATTAATAAAAGGCAAATTGGGTCTTGATTAAAGGTTAAACAACCAGTACAAAAAGAGGATAAAATTTATCACCATTTGTGAAGTGTAAGAAGTTTACTAAAAATAGTTCTTTGAATAACTGTTCACATCTTAATAAAATTTCGTAAATATCAGTTTTCCTCTTATCTTTTTAATTGTTTTAATGAAAGTTGAGAAAACTGTTGAAAAGATAAATTTAACAGCAGCAAAAATATCACATTTCATTCATTTGTACTAGCATTTACAGTAATTGCACATTACATGTTACGATTTGGTCTCTTTTCCTAACAAATAAATAAAAAAGATCAGGTGTAAAACTTCAACAAATGTGCAATCTTTCTGTGAAGTTTCAGGAATCTGGATTGAAAACTGTAGGAGGAGTTAATTACACAAATTGATTACACAAATTAGGTATCCAGATGTCCCTGCCCAACTGCCAATCTGCCAAACATCAATATACATTTTAACCAATTTTTTAAAATTGTATCAAACCAGGCCAAAAAGCTGTCTACTTCTTGAAAACTCAATTTTCATAACTGATAAATGTTACTTAAAATAAAGCACATATTATATCATTACCTAGTTTTGACATTAAAATAATAGGTTTTGCCCGTTGAGTCCTTGGCATCTTTCCAGTTTGGTGGTAGAACAGGTGCTATGAACTGAGGGGGTGATGGTGGTGGAGGAATATCTTCTTCATCGGAAAAATCCAATTTTGAAAAATCATATGAAATCTGAAATAAGAATAGAAAGAAATTATGTTCTACTCTGGATTCATTTATTTTTGTGGATACCAATTTTGTGGATTGAGGAAAGTTTATAGTTTTGTGGATATTTGATTTTGTTCTTTTTCCAAATTCTGCATACAAAACAAATGAAAATTTGCACTTTATTCAACATTTATATCCACAAAATACAAAAGAAGGACAATAGAAAACAAAATGCCCTTCTTCTATCTAATTTGTTGGGGCATAAAAATATTACTCATTTAAATACAATCAAACAGCAAATAAATCTATTGCAAGGATATGTGCTCTTTTTATGCCTAAATAAAGGCAACAGTAGTATACCACTGTTTTCGAAATTCAA